GTCAAATATTCTTCTGCCTATAAATAGCTTAAAAAGAGACGAAATATTTTGAAAATGTTTTTGTGCATAGAAAATGATAATATAAACATTCGGTGAAAATTAAATTTAACTGCGATAAGGTTATCATATCTTAGAGTTACACCTAATAAAAAAATTTACTTTTTAGAAAACTAGTAACTACAAAACTATCTGTTTCTCGTTATTTTTTTTTGTTTTTCCCGACTCTTTTGAAAACTTATGAGAATTTTTAACTCTTGCCAAACATTTTTCACTTTTGGTCAACTTCTCCTCAAAATACCAACTAGATTCACTTTATTACCAGAAAAAATGCTGAAGTAGAAAATCAGAATTCAAACAAGGTCATGTGGGGGATCCATCCCCCATATCCCCCCGGGTCTACGCCCATGCATAGTGCAAATAGTTATAGGTAAATAACTCAAAAGATACTCATTCCAATTTCGATTTATAAAATATGACATTTTAAAAAAGTCATCTAATTAACAATTTACAGAAAAAGCGTGATTTTTATTTTAAGAAAATAGCTAATAAAATATATAAAGTATATAATTTTTCTACACAGCTAATTGATTAAAATATTATACTTTTTTCGATAATATTTTCCTAATGAATTACGAAATACCAAGGGGCCAACACACACAGTGGCGTATCTACGGGGGAATACGGGGGTAATATTGCTCCTGGAGCCAAAATTGTGTACACAATACAACATAATATATATAATAATAATATGTATATATGTTTTAAAATACACCCCCCCCCCCCCCTAACAATTCTAGATACGTTACTGAACACACATACAATAACGTATAATAATATACAGATACAAGCATAGGCGTAAATGGGGGGCTTGGAGGCTCTAAGCTCCCTCCCAAACTTAACCGTAGCCCCCCCAAAAACCTAGGACATACAATTTTAATGTGCTATATTGCAATGGTCTGCTTGCCTTTATTATATTCAGCCCCCCAAGCCAAAAGTTGAAATTGCGCCTATGGATACAAGGTAGGTACTATAGGTACTGAGTGTCTGTGACCTGTGCGTACAGTAAACAATATACGCGATAATCTTGGGCATGTATGATGTCCGGGTAAATTCGGACAACATACATGCCCTAGATAAGAACAATATTTATTTGAATTCTAATTTATTATTTATGTTTATATTTTAATGGAACGTATTTGCGTCTCCCGACAACTTTTATTTCAATCAGACTAGGTAGATACTTATATAATATTATTGTGCACAGGCCACCGGGTAGATTGTTATTCGTCATCATCTTATTGCACCAGTACGAATATAATTATATAATAACATGTACTATCTACTCGCGCAAGTGTCTATATTATTATTATAACATTATTAAAACATATCAATATGTATAAGTATACTATTCTTAGCAATACTCGTACAGAGGTATTAACTTTGATATATTCTGATTTACGACTTCGCAACAGGAAATCCCCGGTATATATATTGCTTAGTTATAGTTACAAGGTACCAACTGGCTACTAATTACTATGCATACTAAGTACAACAGACATATACGTAACATAAACATGACTTAGTATTTTTATAATTTACACACGTGTACCTCTAATAATTCACACGATATTATATTATATTATTATTATTATAAACACATTATATACCTACTGATATAAGGTTGATATATATATATTGTATACATGATATTATATGATGTAACGCCGACCGGTCCTATCCAAACTGCCAAATTTTAGAGTGTAGGTAGGTACTTACTGAATAAAAAGCCGAAAATAAATAATGCACATTTTATATGTGTGTACTGGTTACACCTAGCCTAACCTAACCGTATATACTATAAATTATAGTATATTTTATTGTATATGAATGTATTATACTGCATAGGTAATACTTTTTTATAATGTTACGTGTGCGACGCAAAAAGACGAGTGGTAATTGCACAATAAAAATAAAAACTCGATTTATTGAGGACCTCGTTAACAATGTATGGGAAACTCTAATATTATCAGTAGATTTTTGTGTTTAAAAAACAAAAAAATGTAAAAGTATTAAGAATAATTTTAATTTTTAACAATGAAGTGTAATCTTAATTCTTATTAGATATATTTATAGGCCCTACGCCCCTACGCCCCTAGCCCTACCTCTATAAAGATCTTTACGCATTAATTTTTGAAAAAATCTAATATTTTTATAAAATTATTTGTTCTTTTTTTCTTTTTTTTGAATAGTTGTACAACTTTGTGCCGAAGAATACTTTTCTACGTTTCATAACAATAATTTCAAAATTGTTTCGTAGATTGCAGAATATATTTTTCTATTTATAAACATTTAAAGTTTAGGAGTGCAAATGAGCAGTAAACACCTAATAATGCGCGGTATACTAAGGGCCTCGTTAAATGCTTATAATATATAAATGAAAAACATTGGATTAGTGTAAATATCAACGTTTTTAGAAAGTATTGCTTCAGATTATCAAATTATCAAAATAAAATAAAATATCTGTCATTAAATATATCATTTAAAGAAAATTAGATAAGCGGTGAATCTCACGAGGTACTTTGTAAGCTGATCCTGTAGTAGTATACCCAGCTGCTGTATGCATGGGTCTAAGTATAAATTGTTATTTGTTATACTTACAATATTCTCATCGGCATAGTATGCATATCATACAAGGTGATTCACCAAGCATAATACAATTTTTTCTTCAATAATAAATTTATTCAAATTCTGATTTTTATACCATTTACGGAGTGCCCTATGGCTATACAAATTAATTTTTCCAAATACTAACCAACCTTTTTGCAGTAAATTGTTAAGCAGATGATTTTTTTTAAAATTCTGATGTATCTAAATCAAATATTTTTAACTAGTAGGTAGGTCGTGGGTGGTTACCGGTGGTTTCAGTTATTAGGTAACATTTATTCTAAGGATAATATTCTTTAAATATCTACATGGTTTTACAAAAGTATAAAATATATAGATGGATTTCATATTGAATCTACATAATATAGTATTTATTATACTCGGACAGTTTTTAAAAATTATAAAATATTGATTAACTTTAATACATATATTAATAGTCAAATCATCATAGCTCACATATATTTTTCCAAACCTATTATCATAGAAAAAAGGTTATAAATTATAATCCTAAGTAAGTAATAAGTCACTCGTTCTAATAAGGATTTATTTACCTATATCAAAATATTATGTTCAAAAGAGTAATCTTCTTAACAATTTACAGGAAACAAAGGTGATTCTTATTTTTAAAAATATGTAATTATCGCCACGGCCTACAGGCCTACTTAAATTGTATAAGAAATTGAAATAACTGAACATAATAATATGGTTCTTATCTAAACCTCCTTAAAAATGTCACAAATCAGAATTTGAATAAATGTATTATTAAAGGAAAATTGGGGGGGAAGCATGCTTGATGAATCACACTGTATACATTATACATAAACATAATATCATTATTTTGATGATATTATATTATACCATAGGGACATAGGGCCCCCCCGCTATCATACACATGCAAGCACTCACGCACACACGCGATATTAAACCGAGGCGGCTGGGCCCCTGAGGCTTTACTGCGTATTTTCGTACACCAGCAAAACTTGACAATAATAATATTGTAAGTAGTACATACTACATGAGAATAATATCATACTTGAGGGGGGGGGCTTAATTGGCCTCGTTAAGGTCGACGATGGGCGGTGTGCCACTGTGTCAGTGCGGCGCACCAGTTTCCATCCGACGCTCAGAGTGCTGACTCCGGCTCTCCGCCACTCTGGCAGTCCGGCAGGTTACGCTCAGATGCTCAGTGTTCATTGCTGACAAGTCTTGACACTGCGACACACGAGTACACGACAGTACAGTTCGATGTTTCATCTATGGTTCGGTCGCGTTATGAGCTAGTGCGGTAGTGCTGTACGGCTAGAGATGTAAAGATGTTCTACCCGTCTCATACTCGCGCGTCCGCCGACTGTTGATCGCCATTCGCCCGATTGCCCGACAAGTCTGTGATCGGTTGTGCTTGTGATTACGTTGTCGACACTTGTTTTTCTCTTCGGCTTTCTCCGTTTCTCGCGGGATCGCAGAATTCAGATTTTGGGATAATACCTAACTATCAAAAAATAATAATATACCTAATTAATAATAAATTATTATTATTGAATTAAGTTGAATATTTGAATATTTTTTTTTTTTTATGACAAATTGTTTATTCGTTTGATTTCGTCCCCATCAGTATTGAATATACGAAATATTATAATTTATAATATATATGACGATAACTTTTATTGCTTTATAAATAATAAAAATATACCTACCTAGTATATTATACGATAATCGCGTAATATTATATTCCGTGATAATACCGGTGTCACGTTACACTAATCAGAACTCGACGACTGCCGGTCGCCGCCGAGCCGAGGGCGGACCGCGGAGTAGAATTAATTACAATAACATATTGTTATATCAATTAATATTAAAATAAGAAAAGGACGAGGAAAAAGCAAAAAAGTTAGGTCGATCAATGATTTGTTTGTTGCGCGTTATCGAGGCCGATAGGCTGATGGAGATAAATCCGATGAACTTTGTCCCCAGGTCGTGGCTTGAGCGGACACACAGATAAATGCGTTGACGACGATGAGAAACCAGTTTCTGATAGCCTATGATAAGTAAGTATAAAAACCGAAACTAAAAAACGTCCTTCTCCTCCTCATCACGAGATCTCCGCCGCCGCTTCCGTTTGGAAATGAGAAATGTTCCACTCTCGCCACCCAACCAGCATAATATTAGACATTAGTAATAATCATAATACTGTTACGTAAATTTTGAATACACTGCCGCCACACGGCCGAAATATTATAGTGTACAGTTATATAATCGGAGACATGGTCTTTTCGTTTTTTTGCCAGAAAAATCGTATTGATGTAAACAAAAAGTTTCGATTCTACTTCGATTACGAAATGGCGATTTTCGACGTCAGAGAGCAGAACAAAGTCCAGGATTCAGTTTCGATGGTTGAGGACCAAGACCAAATGGAGAATCACGATGAACCGCTTAGTAAATTCAAGGTATGTTAACGAACCATACCCAGTGTTTCAATCAATAATCGGTACCCATGTAATTTGTACATTTTACATTGTTTAGGTCGAAACGAATAACCGGTTTTGGAGTGTCGGCTCTAAACTAGTGGTCTGTCGAAAGTTCATCAACGATAAGTTGGCAAAGTCTGAAAACGTCAACAGGATCGCTTTCTATAACAAACTCAAGTGCTTAGCTAATAATGAAAAAGTGACTAGTTCATGTGAACTCAACAGACAAGTAAATTAATATTGAATTGTATTTATATACTATTTAGTTATACGATTATTACAAATGATTGAACTGTAATTGTCTGTGCAGTTAAGTCAAGAGGAGGTATTATGGCAAAGCGAACTTAAAGACTTAATATGGTTAGAATTGCGTGCCAGGCTAACTGATCGGACTATAATGAGTCAAGACAAGTATCTGTGCGAAGAGAGAAAAAATATTTGCTATCTCCTTGATGAAATTATAAACTTCAGGTTTGTGTTATATGTAAATATTTACTGTACATTTTTAATATAATAATTAAACTTTAGTTTTAGATTTGATCAATTACATTCAAAAACATCACCAACTTGCGAAGAATCGAATAATTGTTCAGGTAAGATATCAAAATATACAGTTTGCTTATTAAGTTCTATAAATATGAATATTATAGATGAAGATATTGGTCAATGTTCATGTCGCAGTGGATGTCTTGGACTATTTTGTGCTCGATGTATTGAACAACAAAATCTAGCTCTTTGCCAAGTACAAAAACTTATGGAACGATTAGAGTATGCTGAATCTTTATTTCCATCTAGCCGAGCATTTGCGGTACAATATCCTTTATTTAAAAGTCCAGAATTCACTAATAGAGTTAAGGTAAGATTCTCAACTAATTTTTACAATAATTTATTAATTTATTTTACTCGTAAGCTTTTAAGATAATGCCTCATAATCTTTTGTTCTTTGTAAATGTATCATTGTAAAAATCTGTTATGTAAAACCAAAACTGAAATTAATTTATTGACTATACAAAAAAAAAATATAGTTTATGTTTAAAATGTATTTCAGGAATAGTTTTAAGCTTTCAGTATTGGAAAATGAACATTGTATTCATGAAGCATTGTATTTTTATTTTAGGCAATGTGTGTGTGGTACAATATGACAAAGAGACAGCGATTGATGTTGTTAATTTTAGGCAGACATTTAATGAAAGAAGAAGAAGTGGAGTTGGAGCCATTAAATCATTTGATGGCAACTAGTAGTTGCAGCTCAGGTTCCCCCAGGTATATGAAAACCATTTATAGTCAATACTCAATATATGTTAGCAATTATTATAAGTATTCTTAATTTCAATTGATTTGTATTATTTGTTGTTTTCAGTGTATCCAATGATAGTGGCAAAGGTTCATTAACACCTTCTCCTAGAACTAGTATTGGTAAATTATTTTGTACATCTACTTTTTAATTTTATATCTAAAAAAAATAAAATATTTTTATTTAGCATTTTAAATAAATATCTATTTATTAATGACTAAATTGTTTTAAATGTATTTATAGAAAATTTTGAATTCAAATTCAAAAGATCTACTGTGAATTATCGTGAACCAATATCATATAAAGATCTCGATTTATATAACACCCAGCCTATAGCTCATCTTAGACAACATTTTTTCCCCTACACAATAGGAATAAATTCATCTTGCTATGCTTCTCAAACTTATAGGTAAGTAGTTTTCTAGAATTATCTATTTTATCACACCATTGTCAGTTATCGTAATATTATATAGTTTTTACTGTTTAACAAAGCATTAACTAGTAAATACATAGATACATTTTAGTAAATTATAAATTATGTTTTAGGCAATTTATTGCTGGTGTATTAAAGACTAAAGGTTTAAGAAAAGCATTAAAATTTCTTGATGAATTATACAAAAATGTATTGCGTAAAGCACATTTAACTCTTAAAGAAGAATCAGCAGTGGTAAAACAATATTAGTTTAAAATTAAATATTAATTAATTTTATATTTATTAATCAAACATTTATTTTAGGAAGACGATTCTAAACATGATGTACCTCATGATGAAGAATTATTGCGTTATGGTTATTGGAGTCAAGAATCAAAGGAATTGAACTTACCATCTTATAGAGCTACATTTATTTTTTTATCTCGTATTCCATTGGATCTAATACATGCTTATCTTCGTATGAGACTTGATACTAGACCAGAAAAACCTTCAATAATGAGCATCAGACAAGTAATATATTTTTTAACTATCAGGATTCATAAGTTCATGTACCTACTATAAAACAATTGAAAATGAAAAAAGGTGCTCTGCTGTACAGTAGGTTAGGTTAGGTTTCTATAAATATCAATAAAATTTTATTCGTTGGTTAAAAAAGCTTCAAAATATAGAAGGCCTAACCTAACCTATATTGTTTCAAAGACAGATGAAAAAAATTAAAAATCCAGTCACAATTTTTTTTATTAGCATTAAAAGTTCAAATATTGACAAAATACTTAAAAATGACGAAAATTTACAAATTATTTTGAGTTATAAATTCATAAAAAATTTTCTTTTTAAATCTAAGACTTAAAATTTAGTACAAGATTCCTCATGTTTGTCTACCTTTATCAAAAAAAAAAAAGGTGCCCTGCTGTACAGTAGGTTACAAGTGGGTCACTGTATAATGGATGGTATTAAATTTGAATTCAATGATATAATATCATTGTATAAGAAAAACTATTCTGAGCGGAGACGGCATGTCAGTCTAGGTTATAAGACATAATATATACAGTATCTATGGTATTAAAACAAACTGACATAATAATAGGTACCTTTAATAAATTCCAAATTAATCAATCTAAAATGATAAATTTATTATTTTATTAATTTATAAACAAACTTAATAGAATCCTAATATTTTTGATTTCAAACTTGTATGAACATATTTTGTTAGTTTAATGTATTATTATTGTTTTTCTCAGACCATTACTTTAAACATCTAATTTTGAATTATTTAACCGTATGCATATTAATTATATTTTTAAAATGTAAATATGATAGGTTAGTATTTTTAAAGTTTTTATAACATTTTATTTTAATACATTTTGTACTTGATAGATACAAAAATAAATGTGCAATAAAAATATTAACAATGTAACTATAAATTTAAAAATCTTAAATGGACAATAGGTATGCCCTAAATATATCATTTTAAATGTGCCGAAAACAACTTCACCTTGAGGCTAATTTCTATCTTACCAATTACTTGGCAGGATTGATATATAAATTTACAAACTTACAAGCCACCTTATTTACTTTTAAATAAATATTTTTAAAAACAATTTATAATTTTTAGTTGACTTGCGAGCTAAAGGAAGGTTTAATGTTGGCTGTAGTACACAGGAGACGTTTTGTTCGTCATATACAATCAACATTATGGTCTGATACAGAAATTGGTATGAAAATATTCAAAGAACGTATAAGCCATTTTGACGAGTGTACCAAAATTGTTTTGGAAGTTTATTTGGGGTATATGGAACAATGGGTAGTGATGATGGGATATTGTAAAGCTCAAAAAAATATGCTGGAAGAAGAATGGAATGATATGAAAGTTATAATTCCTCATATTCCAGATGGTATGACAACGGTCACAAAAACTTTTTGGTATGTAATGTCTTAGTTTACATTTCTGTGATATTGTAGGAAATAGTTGGTTAGCGACTTCTTTAAAGTTAACTTAAAAGTACTATTTTGTTGCTTTTGTATGTTATTTAAAGTTTCACCATATCTGCTACAATGAGCCTATAATGATATAAAGTCCACCACTGCAATGTTAATTTAAATAAACTTTTAATAATATATAGATTATATTATTTTATTATATTAATGAATACTTAAAAAAAGTATGTTGCTCTGAAAAACTCATTTATATATAACATTTTGGCTTAAAATATTAAAATGTTTTTATCTCAAACTATCAAATAATGGACTTAAATGTCTTACTTTGATCTTTTTAGTTATAAAAACATTTAGTACTTTATACTTCACTAAAAATGAAAGTATAATAACTTTGTCAGTGTCTTAAAATCTTGGAGGTACATATATTGAATAGTTTATAGCATTTTAATACAAAAATATACTTTATTTTTGTAGCGAAATTGCCAAACACATGTTGGAAACAATATTAAAACATTTCAAGGACCAAACTCATAATCAAATAAAAATGATAGTACAAAATGTTGATCATTCTCAAACCAAGTAAATATAAATTTGTAATTAAAATATCATTGTATATTAATTGTATTCTTAACCATATGATGAGAAATAAATTATAATGCATATACTTTTAGGCAAAACTTATTAGCCATATGCAGAGAATTACAAAATTTATTAAGCTTATTCAGAGAAAAATCTTTTCTTGTGATGTCATTAGTTAAAAATTTATGTAAAGATATGATCGAACAGTATAAAAAGGATAAAATGAATAATGTGAAGTTTGATGGTCCTTTATCTCCAATTTTGACTACAATGATACCTTTAAAAGTATGTAAATATTTTGTGTAATATTAATAATAAAATAAATAAAACTCACAACAAATTATTTTATTTATTGAGGATGAAATTGTATTTTGGTTCACTTGGAATTATTAGCGAAGACACTGTTGCAAAATCTTACTTACTAAATAGAAATAATTTTATGTGGACATTTTAGTTAATTGAATTTTTGATATTTGAATAAAAATTAAATGCATGTTATAGGAAAAATTGTTAGAAGTTTGTCGGTGTATTATAGAAATAATTACATCATTAGAGGAAGCAGCTGATACTTGTAACAGTGATATTGACGATATAACATTAGCCCCTCGTATTCGAGAAGTCTTGCATCAGATGTATAAATTTGGATTTGAGGTATGTATTAAAATAGTCAAATCTTAAATGTATAAAATGTATATTTATGTAATGCGTACATGTGATAGTATCATAAAGAAGCTAACAAAATGATGTGTGGTCCGTATAAAGACCAAGCCACTCTATACAATGTATCTATTTCAAAGCGTTGGATAAATTTTGTACACAAACGATGTGAACCCGGTCGAGGTTTAAAGCCCAAATGGGCAAATAATGGAGTAGATTTTTTACTCAGTGTATGTGAACCTCAGAACGTTGCTGGACTTAGTGATGTGGATTTTAAGGTATGTAATATGAACATTACATTGTATTCAATTTAAAAGAAAAGTTGTGTAATTATTTAACTTCTTTGTATAGAATTTTAAGAATTTGATAGAAAATTGTGTAGTTTATATTATTGGAAAATTGGACGATGGTGGTTCTTTTCCAAACCCCAGTGTAATACAAAAAAAGCGTCATTCTTCCGCAATTGAAGGGAGGAATAAAATTTTGAAGACTGAAAAAACTTTTAAAAGTGGTAATTATAAAAACGACTATGTGAATAAATTAATTTGATTTAATTAATTCCATGTTCTTTGTTTACATAAAAAAACCAAATTAGATATTGAGAGAAATGTACGGGTCATGGATGCTATTAATAAACTAGATCATCAATTAGAAGAGAAATTGCGATCACAAGAGTTAATTGGTCACATTCGACACGATTATAATATCGAACGTATTGAGTATGTTCGTCCTCGTCCTGTACATTTTAGTTGGCAAAGGGGCATAAAAATTGGACAAGGCCGTTTTGGTAAGGTATACACAGCCGTTAATAATGAAACTGGAGAACTGATGGCTATGAAAGAAATACAATTGCAACCTTTTGATCACAATGCCATCAGAAATGTAGCTGTTGAGTTAAGGATATTTGAAGGCATCGCTCATGAACATCTTGTTAGATATTATGGCGTTGAAATTCATAGGGTAATGATATAGATAATTGGTGCCAATCTTATGAATTTTTCATTTAAATTACATTTTTAGGAGGAGATGCTCATATTTATGGAATTGTGTGCTGAAGGGACATTGGAAAATTTAGTCGCAGCCACAGAAAGTGGACTACCAGAAGCTCTCTTACGTAGATTTACTAAACAGTTGGTTAGTGGAGTGGACATTTTACATCAGCACGCCATCGTTCATAGAGATATTAAAAGTAAGATATTTCCATAATATACAGTCAAACTTCTTAAACACAAAATAATCAATACCTCAAACATTTACCCCGGTCCCTATAATTTCCTATAATTATTGTATTATCCTTGGATAACTCAAATTCTTGAATAATTCAAACTTCTGGCTGGTCCCTTCAACTTTGAGTTAACTACATTCAGCTGTCCTTTAAACATGTATTCAATTTCATCAAAAATTAAATGTTGTGTTTAAACTAGGTGCAAACATCTTTTTGACTGATGAAGGCAACTGTTTGAAACTGGGCGATTTTGGTTCAGCAGTAAAAATGAAAGCGCATACCACAATTCCGGGAGAACTTAAAGGGTTTGTTGGAACACAAGGTAGCTATTAGCAATATTAATAGAGAGATACATTTGATATTAACATGAAATCAAATGTTCTAGCGTACATGGCACCAGAAGTTTTTATGAAATCTAACACGGAAGGACATGGTAGAGCCGCAGATATTTGGTCAATAGGATGTGTGATAATTGAAATGGCTTCAGGCAAAGTATGCATTTACAGCATCACCATTGTAATCATTATATAATTTATATTGTTACAAATGTTTCCATAGAGACCGTGGCACGAGTATGATTCTAACTACCAAATCATGTTCAAAGTGGGCATGGGAGTCTTGCCAACTGTACCGGACACACTGTGCGATGAGGGCCAACAGTTTGTCGACAGTTGTCTACAACATGATCCATACTTAAGAGCGACTATTTCGGAACTACAAGAACATAACTTTATCAAAGTATTTATAATAAATAAATTTATTTAATTATTGTTCATTTGAAATTTACCCGTGTCACTGTTCTAGGTTATGCCCGAGGAGTGTGTTTCCTGTCGAATATCTTCAACTGCAATGCTGGAGGAATACATAAAATTGGGTTTTAAACGATAGCATCCAGTATTTTTTTATATTATTTTAATCCTATACTGTATACTTGAACATTATATTCATGTAACATTTTAATTATTTACTCATATACACTTCGAGATGTTTTGTTTTCTATTATAAAATTTTTTTGCTAGTTTTACTAAATCTAGACCATCAAATATATTGATCTCACAAAAATGTGGTAATACTTTTTGTTAGGTCAATGTATAGTGATGATAGATAACTGTAAATATTATTTTTTAGTCTTTAAAGTACAACGCAATAATTAAAATTATATTATGTGTTAGCTAGTAATTAAATTTTATCATATTAGGAATTAAAAAAAATGTATATTCAAGTCGTTGTTGGGTGACATCATTATTGGACTAAAAATTATAATAGATTTTTTGGCTATATAAAAGAAAAAATAAAGGTGTTGCTGTTTAATTATTAAAGAACAAAATAAATGTTACTACTGTATCATTAATTTTACTATCTTGTCTGTAAATTATTTGTGAATGTTATTGTGGTTTTGTATTTAATATATAGTGTTGTATCCAATAAGTAACTTATGTTAAAATGTGTCTTAGTCTATGTATTAACTTTAATTATTGATCACATCACAACTAGTGTAATATTCTAATTATGCGGCCACTTGTTAGAATTATTAATATTGTTTTAGTGAATATGAAATACCTCATACCCATTTTGTTCTATAATATTTATGCCAATCATCATTTATTATTATTATTATTTTTTTTACGTTATGTATGTATCAAGTAGTTGTTAAATTGTTTAAATTATATTCTTATACATGCCGTCCTTTTAAAAATATATAATTATGTTAAAAATGGTAAATATATAATATATTATTCATATACTGAAAATGTTATTTTATTATAAATTTATAAATGTACAATTATAGTATTGTTAAGAAGCTTGGTTGTGTTTATAATTTATAAGTTATACTCTCACAGACAATCAATAACCCACATAATTTAAAACCCGAATGTAACAGTTTTTTCTAACGATTTACAAGATACTACTACCAGTGGCCCAAATAGGGGGCTGGATAATTTCGGATTGTTGGAAGTTGACACAACTACACAAGCAGATCCGTGCCGTTAAGATTTGGCATCCAGGGCAAAATTAAAAATATTCGCCCCCTATTTTATTTATTATTATGCATTTCATTCCTATTTAATTTAATTTTTTTTTTACAACGTATTTTGAACATTGATTTGACAAAAAACTAAAGCTGATTGCAATAGTAATTATTAAATAAAATAGTTAATTATAAAATAATTACAGATTATTACAAATCACAAATTATATTATATTATAGGTACATATTATATTTAAAGAAGTATCATAAGTGTGTATCATATAGGTAATTAGTTTAAAACTTAATTTTCCTGGACTTTTTTGAAGCAAAATGATCAATGACGTATTCAAAATCGATATTTTTTGTTATTTCATTCTAAATTGACAATATTGCTGAATTCATTGGTTGGTCTCTCTTGCGACATGGTAGATCGTAAAATGTAAATATGTATTAGTTAATTTCAATTTACTAAAGGAGCGTTCCCCGGAAGTGACGGTAACATGCATGATAAGAAACAATCTATATGCAGTTTTTAGGTTTGGATAAGTTGAATCGAGTTCATATTTTAGATTCTGAGTGGAATGATTATTTATTTTACAATTATTTGTGTTTTATTTTTTATTTTTGTGTCTGTGTACAGTGTACACGATAAGTAGTCGAAATAATGCATCGATTTTCAACTTCAGTATCTTGTTCGATAGCAAAGTGAATATTGTTAGTGCATTGGGGAGGTCAAAATCCCAATAGTTGTGGGAAAAACAACAAAAATTAAGGAAAAAAGGGAATTTTTAGGCAAAATCAATTTTGGTTTTTATATTTATATTTATTTTGAACTGTTTAGGAACATTTTCAGTTTCCAATTTTATTAGTATTTTTTTCTGTGAATCTAAATTAAACTTAATTTATTGAGTAAAAAAAGGCTTGAAAATTTAATACAAGGCTCCTACTATATTGTCACAATGAAATTTGAAAAATATTAAAAATAATTAGTGACAAGTTTTTTTTTATAAGCATTTAAAGTTCAAATCTGGACAAACTACGGAAATTTTCGAAAATTAGCAAATTATTTTGAGTTGAGAATTCATAAAAATGTTAGATTCTGAGTGAAACGATGAATGTATTGATTTTACAATGTTTTTTTTTAACTTTTTTATATTTTTTGTGTCGTGCTTCGATTTTTCACAAAATTGAATTTGGTTTTTGGTGTTTTAAAAATAATGACCGTAGATACATGAAATTTCCACTGGTAGTTTATATTTGCATCGATAGATCTCGCTAGAGAGCGTTCTGTGCTTTACGGCGGTCCGGTGTCGTAGCACAGAGTGAACAGATATATATATATACAGGGTGATTTTTTTATTGAAGAACACTCATTATTTCTGAAAGTATAGACATTTTACCAAAATTTTTTTTCTAAAAATTTTAGTTGCGCATACTTTTATACATTTGTATAACACTTTAATTTTTTCACCCTTATATTTATTGGTCAAACTATTATCAACTTTTGATTTTCAAATGGCAACCCATCATAAAAATTTTCATTTTATGTTAATCCATTAGCGAGATACAGTGCCTCAAAGTTTGGTGGTTTCTCATAAGTAACTGTGCTACTATTTATAAGTACATAGTATTTTTTGTTAAAAAATTGCATAGAACGTCCACATTTGCCTGCAAAAATTCACATGTCCATGGATGCACTTCGTTCTGTGCAATTTTTAAAAAAAAATCGAGAACAGTGATAATGTTCTAACCTAACCTACTCTTTTGTAACATCAACAGAATACTGGCCGTCACTAGATGAACAAAAATTTGTATGTCAGATGTGTGAGGATGGAAAACATAATATTATGTTTTCCGTCCTCATTAAAAAAACCAGCATGACCATCGGATGTTGTTTCTAAGGATCATTACAAGAATTGAAAATCACCAAGATTCCCATGTTTACATTTATATTGTTTACATCCGCAAACATGTATTTAATAAAGTTTCCTTACAAGTTGTCAATTAGATAATATTAAAAATACATCGCAAGATTTTTTTAATGGTGTTCAAATTTTCATAAAAATCATGTAAATAATAATTGTCTAGTCAAAAATTCATTACAATTTTAATATGAATAAATAAGTATAAATGTTATTTTGTTAATTAAGTACATAAAGTATTAAAAAAAAACTTATTACCTTCATTTAAATATATTGAGTGATAAAATGATTTTATAAATATGTATAACTTGTTCTTGAATAGAATAATGTTGACTTGTCAACATACTTATACTCTTTTCAAAACTGAACAAGCACTTTTGGTGCGACGAGAATCACAACACCGGGTCGTTGGTTGTAGATTTGCAAGACTGACAAAAATCAGTCTGCAGACTAATTATTCTTTTTTAAGACAGAGTATAGATTCTCTAGACTTTGACTTGAGAAGAAATATGTAACACAAACATAACTAATTAAAGTATCATTTGTTAGCCTGTTACAGTTAGGAAAGGTTTACAGATGAAATGAAAATAGTTTTTTTTTTCAATGAAGTTTTTTATTAATAGGTGATAATAACTATCGTTTTCCACCAACACGAGGAGCAGCCTTTTGTTGTACAGATTTTGTTTGCACTTTCTTGGGTTGTTTCTACAAAAATAAATTAAGTGTAGAATAAAAATCACAAATAATAAATTTAAATGTTACCTTCGTTTTTGATGGAGGTGGTGGAGGAGGCTTCTTAGCTGCTCTAGCAGCCTTCTTTTGGTCCTTAGCCACCCTAAACAATTTAAATTTTATAATACACATTCATACCATATTATAAATTTTTATTGGCATGAATCAGTCATTTAGGCACCATAGTAATAATATTTAATGTTTTATTAATTTAAAATTGGCCTTATTTAGATGTTTAATTTGTTTAAATTAACTATTTGTGTTTATCTCTACAGGTATTTTCACTAAATCATGATTAAAAGCTAATTTATATAGTATACCTTTGCTAGACCTTTCAAATTTAATTTAAAATCCCAAACACTATAAACAAGTATACATTTTAAAATAATCATCACTATTATTATGAAAGTGAGGTTTATTTAAAACTTTGGTTTTATCTTAAAGTAATAATAGTTTTAATACAAAAACCTGTGAAGTTAATTAAAACTGTACCATTATATTACAGTTGAAATTTATCAAACTAAAACTTACATTAAGAAGTTGTTAGTAAATTTAGTTCTCAGTCTGGCAAACTTTTATTGCAATTTAAAATTCTGCATAATAAAGTTATTACTGTATTATTTAATTGGAATTTTAATTTCCTATGTTGATTAGATGAGACGGAGATAACAAATTACTGTATAAGAGCAGTCTTAGAAATTGTATGTTGAACTAAATAAAACAGATTATCTACATGTTTATCTCGACAGGTACTTTCATTTTATCATTTTTATAGATAAATGAGTGTTTAAAAGATGTTATTTAATATACCCTTGCCAGTACGTTCAAACCTATGTAAAATCCAAACACGATAAACAAGGGAAAAAGAAAATCAAGTTGGCAAGTATATAATACACACAACAAATATATATTTCTATATCTAATCCTTATTATTTTTGGACATTAGCAGTAATAATAAATTAAACATTGTATTAGAATCTTAATAAATTAAGATCTATAATATGAATAACTCAATAAAACTGAAATAGCTGATGTTTATCTCGACAGGTACTTTCATTATATCATTTGTAATGGATATATGAGTGTTTAAAAGATGTTATTTAATATACCCTTGCCAGTACGTTCAAATCTATGGAAAATCCAAACACGATAAACAAGGGAAAAAGAAAATCAAGTTGGCAAGTATATAATATACACAACAAATATATATTTCTACATCCAATCCTTATTATTTTTGGACATTAGCAGTAATAATAAATTAAACATTGTATTAGAACAGTGGTTTTCAAACTTTTATTGAACGCGGCACACCGTGCTCCACAAAAAATTTTCAAGGCACACAGACCCTTTTTTTTTGCACTAAATAATCAGATGAACAAAATTATTTTGAATTATAATTATATAAGTACATTTAATTAGAAATGAGTGCTTGACGAATGACGAGCAAAAATTATTAATTTTATTTTTATAATTTTATTCTTGGACGAATAGTTGAACTTTCCGAAAGACCGCGGCACACTCAGTGAATTCTCGAGGCACACCAGTGTGCCGCGTCACCCAGTTTGAAAACCACCGTATTAGAATCTTAATAAATTAAGAACTATAATATGAATAACTCAATAAAACTGAAATAGCTGATGTTTATCTCGACAGGTACTTTCATTATATCATTTTGAATCGATATATGAGTGTTTAAAAGATAATTTATTTAGTATACCCTTGCCAGTACGTTCAAACTTATGTAAAATCCAAACACGATAAACAAGGGAAAAAGAAAATCAAATCAATTAGGCATACAAGATAAATAATTATTTATATTTACAATTATTATCATATTTATATTATTTTTAGCCATTAATAATAATAATAAACTAAACATCATACTACAAAATTTAATTTAAACTAAATAAAAGTGAAAATATTTGTTCATCTCGACAGGTACTTTCATTATATCATTTTTAATGGATATATGAGTGTTTAAAAGATGTTATTTAATATACCCTTGCCAGTACGTTCAAACTTATGTAAAATCAAAACACGATAAACAAGGGTTTAAATTGTAATTTACCTTTAAAAACCAGATGAAAATTTTTCTGTTAAAATTATTAAGGTCTAATTTTCTAATATTATCTAAGTACTATGTTTAATAAAAATAACATTTACAATGATATACAAGTTGGAAAATAGCTGACATTATTATATAGGTATACCCCTTCATAGATGATTTCTCATCATGCTAAAATTCAAGATAGCAAATACTCGAAATTAAAAAATAATCATAAGGATTTAAATATTTAAACTTAACTTAACATTAACTAAGCTATTTACCCTTCATACATGGATTCTCATCATGTTAAAATTCAAGATAGCAAATACTCGAAATTAAAAAATAATCCTAAGGATTTATATTATATTTAAACATAAACAAATTTATTAAAAATAAGTATCCTTCATAGATGGGTTCTTATCATTTTAAGATCAAGATAGCAAATACTCGAATTAAAATCTAATCATAAGGATAGTATTATTTTAATGAAATAAAATAAAATAAAACAAATATAAATAGTTTGATTGAATATTAAAATATTATTAGTCAGTTGACAGTATAATAAAAAGTCATAGCAAATACTTATAGGTAGTATATTATTATAAATATGTTTATTGATTTCAATAATTTTAGCGAATTGACCCAACACCATATACTAGGTCAAGAGAATATTATATTATATTGTGTATGTTAATGTTTTCTCAGAATTAAATTTAATATCAGAATAATCAATAGTAGCAAATACTTAAATACATCATAGAAAACTTGTTAGAATAATTTACACTATGTGTTTTAAATATATCTATTAGGTGTATGTGCAATCTCTCATAAATGGGTTTTCATCATGTTTTAGATTCAAGATAGCAAATACTCGAATTAAAAAGTAATAATCACACAGATTCAACACAATCAAGATTTTCAAGAAAAATTAGATACGCATGGACAAGGAATAGTTACATATTGTGTATGTTAATGTTTTCTCAGAATTAAATTTAATATCAGAATAATCAATAGTAGCAAATACTTAAATACATCATAGAAAACTTGTTAGAATAATTTACACTATGTGTTTTAAATATATCTATTAGGTGTATGTGTGTGCAATCTCTCATTAATGGGTTTTCATCATGTTTTAGATTCAAGATAGCAAATACTCGAATTAAAAAGTAATAATCACATAGATTCAACACAATCAAGATTTTCAAGAAAAATTAGATAAGCATGGACAAGGAATAGTTACATATTGTGTATGTTAATGTTTTCTCAGAATTTAATTTAATATCAGAATAATCAATAGTAGCAAATACTTAAATACATCAAAGAAAACTTGTTAGAATAATTTACACTATGTGTTTTAAATATATCTATTAGGTGTATGTGCAATCTCTCATAAATGGGTTTTCATTATGTTTTAGATTCAAGATAGCAAATACTCGAATTAAAAAGTAATAATCACATAGATTCAACACAATCAAGATTGTCAAAAAAATTAGATACGCATCGATAAGGAATAGTTACAAATACTCTAATCGAAGTCTGATGCAGGTTATATCATACTATCTATGTACCTATAATTTATTCCTCATATATTTCTATTTTTTTATTCAATTTGAAATTCAAGATAGCAAATACTCAAATTAAAAAATAATTAAAATAAATTAAAAACAATCAATACTACCCAGATTCAATACAATAATTTCCTCAGTCATGAATTCTAATCATTACCATTGTTCAATAGTAGCAAATACTTATTAATAATAATCACTGGAAAAATACTAAAATTGAATAAATTTAACTTAAAAACCAATAATATAAGGTAGGTGCTCATTTATAATAATTTCCTCAGTTATGATTCATTATCATTACCTACCACTGTTCAATAGTAGCAAATACTTATTTATGATAATCACATGAAATAAAATAGGTAGGTGCATGTACATTGATGGGTATACCTACCAAGGTATCTAATAAAACTTAATATACAATTAGTCCATTAAAGATTATTGTACATCTCGACAGGTACTTTCATTATATCATTTAAATTAGATATATGAGTGTTTAAAAGATGTTTGATATACCCTCACCAGTACGTTTAGATTTAATGCAAGATCTAAACACGATAAACAAGGGATAATGTTTGAGTTAAATGGCAAATAGATAAAGGTACATTCAACTGGGAAAAATGTTTTAGAATAAATTATGTGATTCTATAAAAATATTATCTTACTTGATGGCAATATCTCGTTGAGCTTTCCTCATCTCAGGTTTCATGTTCCTCTTGGCCAAAATATCAGTGAGGGAAGCACCGACAATAGCACGTTGGAATTTTTGCGTTCTCCTGGTCTTCTTTTTGGTCGTTTCTTCTTCTTGACCCTTGCGATGCTTGCGTCTGAAGAACATCAAACGACAATCATATAAATATATCCATAAAATAAAAATACAACAATTGCTTACCTGTACAATATCGTCCATGTCACTTTACGGGGGTTCCTCTTCATTAAGTGAGCGCGCTCGCATTTTGAATCGAGGAAAGTGAATGTCTAGGTATAACAAGACAGGATTATTTACGCGAAATAAAAGACACCTTTCTACAGCGTGAAGTCGGAAAGCGTAATGAGAAATGGTAAGTATAGAAATTCGACAAAAAAACTCACCTTTCCGTCAGCTTTGATCATGGTTTTGCCATGTCCTGGGTAGATTTTGTACCCGCTGTAGGCGCAGAGTCCGATCCTTTAAGTAAAAAATAAAAATTAATAAAAACCAGGCATCAACCATCAGAGTAGGATAGATTGGCGGTATATTCAAAAACGATATTTCGACGTCCATGATAGTCAAACGAGCGAAAAGTTAGGTAATTACGTGGCACCAAGTAACGCCAAAAGCATTTGTCAAGGTGAAAAAATTGGAAATTGGGAAGGAAGCGGGATTAATGTGGATAAAACTTACTTCATTTTGAAAAATTTACGAGAACTCCAACTATAGGTAAGAAGAAAATGATTATCGACTCAGCATACAAGTAGCTCGGCAATCGGCACTGCAAAATGCATTGGTTCGGGCATGAAGTTGGTTACGCGATACAGTGTCGCCAACGCGGAAAACTATTGATGGGGGACCCATAATAATTATTTGGTAGCTGGATTAGATGGAATTTCGTAAATTTAATTAATTATTTTTTTGTAAGTGTTCAGACGGATTCATAAAAAATATTATGAAAATTCAAACGCATTAAAAATAAGAAAATTATTTACATACGCATAATAATTTTCAAATGTTGTGCTTTTCTTTTCAATCTGATTAAGTGATAAAAAAATAATATTTGATAAGCATTAATGTAGTGTACTTGCGTTCAGGATGGTTCAAGCGTTCTTAATGTTCTTATCCCTTAATTAGTTAATTTTTCATTGAACTATATAATAACTATATAACTATATTATTATATAGTTCAATGGTTAATTTGTGGTTCCATGGTTGCGCTTGCTTCTTCTAGTACTTAATATTTTGGTATGATTGGTTTGATCTTTCCTATTTCGATTGCGATGATTGAATAATTGTTTATTGAATTAATTGTAATGTATTAGCATCGTGAAGGCACGAGGGAGAGTTCTTTATAAGTCTGGAATAAATCTTAATTCTTAGATCGTGCATTCGTTAAAAAACGTCCTTTTTATTATTATGTTAAATACTTAAATTATCCATCTTGCTTAAATGATAACACCCACGTGGCCTCGGGTTAGTGGTTGTATACTTGTGTACAATTACTAGTAACTAGTGTGAAATATTAAATACGACGAAATAAAGTTCTCGGTGTACACAGTAGGTACATCATTTAAAAATCTACTCTGGTACATAATATTTTATTTTTAGAAGTATTGAAATGTATGATTTTGTTAATAGGGTTCTTAAATGATTAAAGAAATAATTTTTAATAATTTTTATGATTGTAAAATATTAAATAGTGCATTTTTAAGAATCTTTGGCTTTGTCAATTTTATCTATACATTTTCGAGTATACCCATTCAACTTCAGTTGTCAAATAAGATACATAATAGATAAACCTATTTTTTAGGAATTTTTATCTGATTATAATATTGAAGAAATAGTAAAATTATTTGTTGGAACGGCTAATTGAGCAATACATTTTTAATATTATGTTGCATTCCTAAATATTCTCTAAAATATTTTTCATCAAATTGTATGTCCTAGAATTGTAATGATTACCCATCTTCAACTACATAGACTAAAACCAAATATGTAAATCATAAATTTCTGACATCCATGATCCATGTACAATTGTAAATGTATAATTATAAGTTATATCATTCGTACTTTTAACACAATTAAATCATTTTTACAAAAATAAATCCTTTCAGTGAAAAATAAATTAGGTATCTAGATATTATAAAATATAAGGCAGGTACATATTATACATTTTCAAGTTGCACAGAGTATCTTCAATGCAAACAGTCATATAAAATATTCAGATATTAAGAAAAATAACAATATATATAGTACTGTATTTTTTGTAATATTGTTAAAAGTTAATAACAACATTTTATTTGAAAATGCTTTCATCAAAACCAATTTATTTTTTACTTTATTTTAAAATATTATATTTTGTTCTTAAATTATGTTCATAGGTAATAAATAAAATAAATGTACATGGAGTAGGTATCATCAATGGATGGATTCTCTGATCGCCCAACCGATAAGCAAGCCTTCAAATCAAGGTGGATTGATATCTATTTATCACCTTGCCCTAAATGCTTATTATAAAAATTAATTTACAAATAATACCATAGGATTATACCTTTCTTAATTAAGAGGATGTGGTACCAGCATAATGTTGTCTTAGTCTTACAAATGTACAACATAGCAAAAACTGTTTTGCGTGGAAAAATTTTACTCCCTCTGTATCTATAAAGGAATTACTAAAATTTCAAATGCATAGAGAAGAACATTATCTGTGACGTAGAGAGCACAGTACATATTATGTAGTCAATTTGTAAGACGCAGACAACACATGTAGTCACACCACGTCTTCTTAATAAAATTAAAAATATAAAAAAATAAATGTGGCTTATGTTATTATTTAATTTATATTGTATGAATAATAATTCATACTATTTCAAGAATATTATTCCCTCTATACTATATATTATTATCAGGGCCCGCTCAATCAAAAATAGTGCATTAGGCAAAATCAAATGTTTTTAATTTTTTTTCCCTAATAATATAATACTATCAGTGTTTTGAAAATGCCGCCTTAGGCGTGGGCCTATGTCACCTACCCCTTGAGGCCTTAAGCTGGGCCCGATTATTAATATTATTATTGTTATGCTTTACTTATTTAATCAGTCACGATGAATCAAATCCCCTATTTATATTTAATGTTATTGTTTGATAACATTTGAATGTTACTATTACAAAACTATTTTTATTTTATACTTAACTATTAAAATTTCAGATATATACGGAATAAGAATAAATGTTAAAATATGTAAATACTTTACTGCTGAGTAAGTTTTAATCGAACCAATTTAAATAATGAAACAATAATGGAAATGAGTTAGATATAACATCTATATATACACAGGTCAACTAGGGGAAGGATTACTGCAAGCATCACTTCCTGAATCATCGTTTTCATCATCACTGTTTTCTAAATCATTTTTGTCATCACCTCCGTTTTCAGATGTTGTTTTCTGATCATCTTTAGCCCATTCGATCCTTGGTACTGCACACTTGGGACATAATTCCAAGGTGCTTGAACACTGATGGCACATTGTGTGGTAAGCTTCTTTGACAGTCTTATTGTGACATTTGTTGCAGTTCTTTGCTGCTTTCAGCATTTTATATTTTTTGTACTTGATCTTCCATTCCAATATGTCTTTACATCTAGGGCAAACACTGTGAACTTGTATGGAATTCATACGTTTGGTACGTACATTTGTGTCATGGAGGTTATTTTTAAACGCAAACCGATTTTGATGTTTTTGTGGTCGAATGCGTGCCGCATTCCCTTTCTGGCTGCTCATGGCGCCTACTAAAATTTAAAAAAAAATAAAAAGTGGTAAGTACAATGTGAAATAGTTAAGTCGAGAACACAAACTCGAATACCTTTAATATAGATTTAAATAGTCCAATAATATTGTTCAGTTATTTCTGAGTAGAGACTTCTGTATTTTGTACAAAAAGTAAACTACCAACACTCATAAATGTTATTTTTATACTGATTACTGTCGAATTACTCGAATTACCTATAATGTTGAAAGCACACCGTAGGTCTTGGCACGATTTAAGATAGTACTATCAGTAGATATGATCATAACAATATAAAAACCAATAGATAAAAACCATTTAACTAGAGATAAGAGACTCGTTCAAAACAAAAAGCCACATTAAGCGCTATTGGTGTCTTTCTTTTGAACTAACCAAAAAAGACGACTGCCGGGACTGCAGCAGGCTGTTAGTTGTTACTTGTTTGTTACCCTTACCTACCTAGTAACAACTAACAATATAAAAGTGTCATTGGAAATTACAATATTATCGAGCGACAAGCACTCATTTTTTTTTAAATTGTATTTTTTTACTCTGAAGTCTTAGGAATATACCTATTGATTGGCGAAGTCAGGTTTTTTTGCTAGTCTGAATGCACTTTTTGCGTTTTGAAGCCGAGGCAGTAGGTGTAGGTTACCTATACAGGGTGTAACAGAAAGAACTGACCAAAAATAAAAAATTGATGCTACTTAAACGTATGACAAAAATTGATAAAATTATGCTATTAGTAAATAGTTTTAGACATGTTAGCAAATTTCCAAAAATAAAATTTTTAAAAAAGTTATTGTGCGTTCCAAATTAATTTAATCAAAAAAATATTGATACTTAAAAAAATTCTAAAAAATAAACTACTTGACTTAGATAAATGTTTTTACCTTCCAAATCGTTCTTATAATCAGATTTACAAATTGGCTATTTTGGATTTATTCAAACAAATTTAAATTAAATTTCAAATTTTTCATTTTCGGTATTAAAAAAATTATTTTTTTTTTTATTACACGTGTAGCTCAAGTGGCTATAAATTATATATAAGAAAAACAATTTAAAAATATTGATTAGAACAAAAGTTATTTTAAAAGTCAGTTCTATCTGTTACACTCTGTATAGGTTAGGTTAGCTATATAGGTAAATGCTTCATTCTTCCGCATTGAAGGTTATATTTACTGGTTTCCGGTAGACAATTTAATCTAGTTGGTAGATTGGTAGTTGGTGGTAAAAAGTAGGAAAGATTAAAATCCAAGTTCCTTTTTTAATAATCAGCAAAAACCAGTGGTGTATTTAGGCATTTGTCTTAGGGGGGATAGACATTTTTTTATACCCAAAATGAAAAATATTAAATAAATCTAACAAATAAAAATTTTTCAAGTACAGTGGTGAGCGGGAATAGGTACTATTTAATCAAAAACCCTAAAACTAATAAACCTATACACAAAATTATTAAATTTTGGTGTAACATTCTACACAAGTTAGTGTAGGTTAATATACAAAAATTATAAAGTATAATATATGTATTTAGCATAAATTCACTTTAGTTAACCAGCAATTTTTTTTGAAACATACTTACCTATGTCAACGAGTTAAGACTTAAGAACGATGGTGCAAAATTTTCTTCAAAAACAACTCCAGGGATGTTAACCACGGAGGGTGTATATGCGTGCTTTTAATAATTTTGTTTTAACTCAGATGCCCACCCAAGGTGGTTTTATGTATTATGACATAACAAGTCGAGGGAAGTTTTCGATCTTAATTATTGTATAAGCGAGTGACCACGGCGGTTGTATATGAAAATTGTACATGAATTGTATATAAAAATTCAAAATAGTTACAATCAATGTATGTTTTAATTTGCGAAATTACATAATATTTAAATTATAGTATCTGTTTATATTTAGTTTCTTCAACATGCCTCGTGGTCTATTTTTAACTGAAGAAATTTTTAATTTAGAATTAAATACACAACCACGGACTAACTATAGTCAGTTACTTAGTTGTCAGTTATCACAAAAAATAACTTGTATTTTCCACTATCCATACTCGTAGAAAAACAATACTCCCACACAGCAATCGTACATTTTAAAAATATTTTGGAAACATTTCATGAGTCACATATGCATCTATGTTTTTGACGTACCTAAGTCGAATACAAATATAATATATTTTAACGAATAAAAATATTGAATATCCACATATTTTTAAACCCCAAACAAATATTTAATAATTATAATGTTATTTGCTCGTTTTCCAAATAATAGATTATTAGTAATAAAAATTGTTGACACTGCTCTTAAAATATGAAAATTATTATTAATATTATTTAAAGGGTAATTTGGGGTTTTAATTTAATTAATTATTTTGTAGCTGAAATATTATAAAATTTTCAATTTTTATAGGTGAGAGTTGAAAATGTAAAACAAAGATTCTCATAAATAGTTCATACTGTAACCAAAAAATCTAAAAACAGTTATTTTAATGTAATTAAAAAAATATTATTATTTGAGATTTTTAGAGTACACTATTATATTGTATATACCATACACTATACACTATATAACTTACATAGAATGACATTTTCAAATGCAATTTTTTTTGTCAAAAATAATTTAACCTATTGTAGAACTAATTGCTTAATTGTAAAATAAATTACTTTCATCACAATATCATATAATTTACTTGGCAATATTATAAGCTAAAAGACCGCCTTCGCTGAGAATCGTTTTTCGTATACAATCATTATTGAATTCAAATTGAACACATCCATGACATTGACTCTAAACACCTAAAGTACAGCAGAGTGTTCCAAACTAACCAGGTTTTTTTTATTTAATTTTATGAATATACATATACTCACTTATTTAGTACCTTTATAAATACATGTTTATTATTTAAGTATCATGTCTAAGACACTGAACACTTGTTGCCTCTGCTAGTCTGCTCCCTACCTTTCTATAAACAACTTAACTGTGTAGCAGGTTTTGACATAAATCACTATGTTCTAAATTAATTTCATCAAACTTTCATAACAGGCGAAGGTTAAAATTTACTAATTACATAAAGCACGCGTTTCTGCCTGTCATAAATAACATTATTCAATAAGACATCCTCTAAAACCTTGACGTATCATCTAGTATGTTTGATATTTTATTTTAACATAATACTATAATATGGGAATTATTTATATTGTATGCATAATTTGTAAATATAATATTATGTTCATACTATCAAAAATGTAACAGTATTGCAAGATTAAATGTATAGTCAATGTGTCAATAGGAGGACATTGAATTAAAAATGACAAGACAAATAATAATAAACTATTTAAAAACAAAAATTTATTCTTTAATTTTTGGTATTTATATTTGACAAAAGTAATATTTTGCTTGTTCAAAATGCATTATTTATGTACATTAACACTTTGTAATTTTAACACATAGAAAAAAAATGTTAAATGTTCGTCATAACTTTCAATAAATTAAAAAGGAAAAAAATACATCTGTAGAAAATTATTATAATATACATATTATATTATTATTCTAAATACCCAACTAGAATACTAACAATATCATCATTATCTATTAGTTTGTTTATACCATACACAACTAGTTAAATTATTTTGATTCTAGCCAGTTCTGTTTAAATTTAATTTAGCAAAACCAATAATTGTATTAAGTCAATCATGTCCATTCTCATATTATATATATTATTATGGTAACAAAAGGAAAAAATATTATCGTAAACAACAACAAATTGACTAAAAAAATTTGCCACGAAAATTGAATATCCAAAATTCCAAAGACTAAGAAACATAATGGACCCACAAGTCTGAGTAACGAGTGTCTGTCATTTCAAGTACACTATCACAAATCTAATTAAACACTGCGGCTATATTATAGGTACATGTTGAATAATAGCGCTGCCATGCGAAACGGCATTAAAAGCGTTATTTCTGAACAAAATATATAAGTTTTCCGACAAAACGTTAATTTTAAAAAGAAAAAAGAAAAGTAGGCCGAAGAGTACTTACTTATTATAAATATTTTGTTTCAATTTTTAAATTTAACAATAACGAATGCCCAAGATTAGTAATAAATGCAAGTTTAGAAATATAGTATAATTAATTTAAGTTACGCATACATAAAATGATGATTATGACTTTCTCTCGATGTGTTCACAGTGGTGGTGGTTGATTGTTATTTTATCTCACGTGATTCCTCAACGACCCTCTTCCTCTTTTTGACCCCTCTTACTTAATCGGTTATAGTACAAAATGTATAGGAATCCACTGAACGAGAAGAAGCGCCCAACAATCGTCAGTCTTTGACGTTCTGCTGCACCAAGTGCCCTGCGAAGTTGTTTTTGCCGTTTAACTGGTGACTCGCCCCGTTGCGTTTGCCCCGGGTCATGTTGCCGAAACACACGGACGAACTGGTGCTGACACCCGAGTCTGAAGACTTTTCACTGGAAGTACACGAGTTCGGTTTGGTGGCGGCGGCAGCGGCAGAGGAGTTGGTGGTGTCGCCGCCGAAGTGTTGGCGGTCGTCGGCGGATTTAGGTGCCTTTTTACTGTACTCGGGCGATGACAGGGCCGCGTCGTTACCGTTGTTGGCCGAGAAACGCGGTTTTGGCGTTGGCTTTGACTTGGCGACGTCGGCGCCGGGGACTATTGCGCGCTGACTGTGAGCAGCTTCCTGAGAGTCGTCGCAGCTTGGATCCGTTTTGTTCTCCTCGGTGCTGCTAGAATCGTCTTCGGGCGCTGTCGACGAGAAATTAATAATAAAACAATATTAATAAACCTTCAGCATACAACAACATCGATGATAAACGTTAAACATCCACTCGACTCGATCTGTAGTCGATAGTAAGTAAATGCGTGGCGAACGGCTGCATATTATTACAAACTATATTATATTATTATATATACTCACACTGATAATCATGCATGACCTGGACGGCTGCCAATATTTTAGCTCTCTGTTCCGGCGCCATTATGCCCATGTAGTCTAGGTCCGCTTCGCGTATTTCACAGAACGACTGCAAGTCCCCAAAACCGTTCATCGCGAATACGGACATTTGTTCCTGCGCGGGTCGAATAGCACATAATATATAATATTATATTATAAATATTAAATAGGTATATTATACTAATATTACTAGGTTAGTAACAATGTGGTTTAATATTATAATGTCGATGAGTACCACACCAAAACCAAATGTATAGATCGATGGACAAAAAATACGAAACATTGCACTCACCTCCATGCCTATGGTCCGCAGTAGCTGAAGCAACGACTTGGGCCTGTGTTTCGAGTTCTGTTTGCTCTTTTCGAGCCCGTTGCTTTCGTTCACCAATGGTTGGACCTTGCCAAACTTGAATGTACCTATTCGATCACAGCCTTTGACCATCCCCTTCCAGATGCCGCTGGCATTCATGGTGGTCACCAATATCACGTCACCTTTCTAAGCGATAAACACAAAAAACAGGTTCAGTCATTTCGAAAAACATGAATGTTTCGAGGGTAATTCGTACGTTAAATTTCAACGCGTCTTTCTCATAAGGGTTCGGGCTGCTGTTAGCCACGGCACGTGCCAATGCCAACACTTGTACTTTCTGCGTCCCGTCGCAAGAAGTCGGTGATTCTTCTGAGCTCTGCGACGCTACTCCCATCAACGCTTGGGCGCCTAAATATACATACAAACCACAAAATTCACATATGTTTAAATAGCAGTGTTGGGTAAGCAAGTTACTCCCAACTAAGAAGTAACTGAGATGAGTAGTCGACAAACGTAAGGAGTGAGGTGGGCTAAAAGATAATTTTTTTTATTTTGTTGTGAAGAGATCTAGATTTTTGCATCAAATATAAGAAGTGTCTTTTGTCGATAAAAATTAATTTGTTCACAGTTTTTAGAAGTTATTTTTAGAATAATTAAAAAAAATATTTTTAAAAATAATTTGGATTATTGGCTTAGAGCCACGTTTTCCAAACTTTTCCTACACCGGACCCCTTAATGTATAGTAAATATGATTGTGGACTACGTAATAAAAATAACCTAACCAAACAATAATAAAAAAACAATTATTCACAGACCCACTTCAGGTGTACGGACCACAGTTTAGGAAACGCTGTAATCGAGTATAGTAAGTACTATACTGAATATTACATATATGATATTATATATGATGTAAAACCATTAGGTGTTAAGGATTATTATCCTTAGTAGTTAGTACACTAAGTTAAATAACTCTGAAATAATTCGTTCGTTTTAATTTAGTTGAATTAAAATTAAAGAAAAAAAAAAGTCGCTCTGCTGTACAGTAGAATACAAGTGGGTCACTGTAATGGGTGGTGTTAAAATTAATCCCACCAAAAACATATAGGTATGTAAAATGAGAGCCAAGTTCAATACTATAATAATATATGCCTTGGTTGTTGACTTCAACGACAAAAGAAGTGAGATCTAAATGGGTGCCAAGTTAGGATAATATATTTAAGCCTAAGGTGTGACTTGGCTACTTTTCATATACGAATTATTATTAAAAGTAGGTACCTACTAAAACAGTAATGGAAGAGTGAAGATGATTTTCCGAAGAATAAAATAAGAACTCAAAGCTTTAGAACTTGCAAATGCTATAATATATAATTCGTAGCCAAGTCAGACCTTAGGCTTCAATATATTATCCTAACTTGGCACCCATTTAGATCTCACTTCTTTTGTCGTTGAAGTCAACAACCAAGGCATATATTATAGTATTGAACTTGGCTCTCATTTTACATACCTATATGTTTTTGGTGGGATATCATTACTTTTTGTATGTAAATTATTATAACCTAACCTAACCTAGCCATGACGTATTCTATAAATAAAGTTTATTACTATATAATATAATTCAGTTACTAATATTAATAATAATATTTATTATAAAATATTTTCCGTTGTATATACAGAGTATAAAATATATGTAAAATTAATATACAATTATTTTAACTCTTTTTGAGTATATTTTTAATTATCATAATTTTATTGACTGTAGTTTCTACTGTTGGGTGGATAATTCATAATTTGTAAGAATAATTATTTAATTATTTTAATTGTAATATTAAAAAAAATAATATTAATTACATACATAGATAGAAAAAAAAGTATGTTGCTGCGCGCGGGTCGACAATATCGACACATATTCGGCTAGTCGTATTTTTGGAGCGGCGATACGGGAAAGGTTATTTAAGTCAACATTACATTACATTAGAGGCAATTCATTAATAAATTGAAAAATTAAACATAATAGATAAAATAATTGCAAAATTATAATAAAATCAATTGATTAAAAATTAAAAATTAAAAAATTTTAAATTAAAAATTTTCAAGTTTCTGATTTTTTCCTTTGTATTTACCTAATTACCTATCTGTATGCCAAATTTGAACTTTCTAGGTCATCTGGAACTGGGTTAGAATTTTGATCTATAGGTAAGTCAGTGATAAAAATGACGATTTTCGGACGTTAATATCTAAATAACGGTTTGAAGTATATTTATGAAATTTAGAGCACATATGTATCTCGTTAGTCTCAATATATGAGCCAAATTTGACATGTTTATGTGGAATAGTTTTTGAGTTATGAGGGGGTCAAAAGTGGCTCCAAATGGTTCGTGTAATATTACACACGGTGCTGCTCGCCAGTTCTGTTAGCTAGAACTTGGCTTGACACGCTACCGCGTGTCTAGATTTGAATTCAATATGATATAATATCATCGTATAAGAAAAACGATGCGAAAACGAGCGAAAACGGTCAGTCAGCCTATATGATATTACGAAGTATATTTGATGATATTAAGGTGTATAAAGTGATTGATATATAACCTATTTACGTGGAATCTTGTTTTAAATTTTCAATCCTTAGATATAAAATTTGAACATTTTATACATTTTTACTATAAAATTATTATTAAATTTTAAATGTGATAAATTTTGTCAAAATTTGAACTTTAAATGCTTATAAAAAAAATTGTGCTCATGTATTTTTAATATTTTTCAACTGCTATTGTAACAATATATCAGGAGCATTGCATTAAATTTTCACACTTTTTTAAACAATAAATAAAATGTTGTTGATATTTATAAAAAAAAAAACTAAAAAAATTGAAAAATGTCTGTAAACAGCTCAAAAAGAGTCAATTATAAGAATTGATAAAATAAACATTCAGTGAAATGTTCAAGTATCTACAGTCATTCGTTTTTTAATTACAACAAAATAAGAAAATCGTTACATGAGAAATCGAGTGAATATGAAATGATGTAAAAATATTGAATTTCAAACGTTCATAAAAATTTAATTTGGGAAAACATTTTTTTTTTTTCGTAAAGGTAGATTAACACGAGGAATCTTGTATTACATTTTAAATCTTAGATTCAAAAAGAAAATTTTTTATGAATTTGTAATTCAAAATAATTTGCAAATTTTCGTAATTTTTACGTATTTTGTCAATATTTGAACAATAAATGCTTACAAAAAAAAAATTGGGGCTATAGATTTTTAATTTTTTTCATCTGTCTTTGAAACCATATAATAGGGCCTTCTATATTTTCAAGCTTTTTTGACCAACAAAAAATGTTTTATTGATATTTATAGAAAAAAAAATGGAAACTGAAAATGTCCGTAAACAGCTCAAAATAAGTCAAAATATTTGGAAAATGTTATGGTGTATAGAAAATGCTAATATAAACATTCAGTCAAAATTTCATGTACCTAAGGTCCTTTGTTGCACCAAAAACCATAATCGATTTTTTCGAAAACAGATTTTGAGTACAAATTCCCGTTTTTCCTTAATTTTTCTTTTGTTTTTCACGGAACTTTTGAAAACTACTGGAAAAATTTTACTTTTGACCCCCCTAAGTACCAACTAGATTCATTTTCCTATCAGAAAAGATACTGTTGAAGAAAATTAAGCATTTTTACTGTCCTAAAAGGTGACGAAAGACACACACAAAAAAAAAAAACACATCATTGTAAAATCAATACATTCATCGTTTCACTCAGAATCTAAAATCAAGTGATTAACATTTTATAAAAATAATTTTAATAAATACATAATTTAAAGATAAAAGGAGTGGGTGGGAATTTTTGGCAGTTTACCTTGTATAATACTTGTGCGTGTGTGTGGGATAAAAAAAACTTACTAGAAGTGCTCGGCAGACTCTCAGCAGAACTATGATGACGGTTAGGTCTCTGGTTTTGTTTCAGTTGTTTTGAGGAATTTTTGGATCTGTGGTGGTGTTGTCTTTTACTGTGACGCTAAAAAAAACAAAACGCGTTTTTATTGTTAAGCACAAAAAACCGTAGACAGACAACGGCAACACTTACAGGCGATTGCAAAAATGAGTCATCCTGATCGGCGTAGTCCGAACTGTGTCCCGGCGAGACCGTGGTGTCCATTCCCTATACAAAAATAAAAATAACGAACATTAACCGACGTCGCTAATGATTATTACCCAAACGACAAACGCTTACGTTCATTCTCAGCCTGTGGTAAAGTTCCTGGTCGTAGTCCGATCGGTTGGTCTCCACGGATAACGATGACATCCTAGAACTGTATAAAAACAATATGACGTTTAAATGTCGGTAAAATGGAGTTTTTTCATTAATACATTTAATTTCATGGACGATGTAAGCAGAAAGGTTTTTAAAAATATTCATTTACTTCACGGATTTATCTAACAATTGTCAATTTGTATAGAGAGTGTCCCAAAAGTCTTGTAATAACATCTCCGTAGTAAATAAATACAAATATACAATATAATATCTAAATGAGCTTTTTTAACAGTAGTCGCAGTACCTAATCTAAATGTGCAATTTATGTTAGTAAATAGTGATTTTCTAGTAGACCACAGATGAATATTGAAAAACAGTATTAAATATATTCATGTGTCACGGTCTCACAGAGATACTTAGGGTGATACGGGACTTTAGGGACATAATGTACATTTTTTTTTGAAAATTATTTTTATTTTGAGAGAATATTGTATACGATAATTATGACGAGCGTTAGGTTCGGGTGAACTAAAAATGACAGTCTGCTACACCGAGCACCATCGGTTTGACTTTTCCGTACTTGGTAACGTTAAAAGGTCACAGCATATTATAATATACTATTGTATAATATGTATATACATATAACTGTAGCGAAAACTCTACACACTTTGAAGTTTGAACTTATTGCTGGTACACGCTAAATGGTGTGGTTTTTTGACAGCACGTTAAATGATATTTTGGATTTGTGGAACGAAGGTTAAACAACTTAAGTAGTTTGACAACTTAAACTTCACCAAATTCATAATGAAATAATACAATAATGAACTATGGAAAATGGATGGTCTTATGATTCATCGAATTTAAATAGTGTAGGCACCAAACTTATTTACGTTTATAAGATTATAAACAACGCTATAATTATTTATTAAAACTTTTCGAAATGAAAAAAAAAGGTTGGAAATACTTTAATGTATGAAATGTATGATTAACAGTATTCGAAACAATATTAATCTCTTCTATAAATAAAATACAAAATAACAGAATTTAATATATTTTGCAACAATATATTTACTTAATTTATGTATAATATACTGACAGACTACTTTTCACTTTTAATATATTGTAGTAATTAATATGCTGTATTATATATAAATAATATTTAAATATACGTTAAAGTACCCTATATGCGTACATCTAAAAAGGTGCTCTGCTATACAGTAGGTTACAAGTGGGTCATTGTATAATGGATGGTATTAAATTTGAATTCAATGATATTGTATAAGAAAAACGATTCTGAGCGAAAACGGTTAGTCAGCCTATGCTATTACGAAGTATATTTGATGATACTAAGGTGAATAAAGTAATTTATATATAACCTATTTACGTAGAAACTTGTTTTAAATTTTCAATCATTAGCCATAAAAGTTGAACATTTTATAAATTTTTAACTACAAAATTATTATTAAATTTTAAATTTGATACATTTTGTCAAAGTTCAACCTATTTAAATGCTTATAAAAAAAAATTGTGAATATGTATTTTTAACATTTTTCAATTGCTATTGTAACAATATATCAGGAGCCTTGTATTAAGTTTTTACACTTTTTGGCCTTACAGATAAAACTTTATTGATATTTATAGAAAAAAAAAAACTAAAAAAATTGAAAACTGAAAATGTCCGTAAAAAGCTCAAAAAGAGTCAAAATATTTTCAAAATTGTATGGTGTATAGGAAATGCTAATATAAACATCCAGTGAAATTTTCATGTATCTACAGTTAATCGTTTTTGAATTACAACAATATAAGGAAATCGCTACATGATAAATCGAGTGAGTATCCATTATTGTAAAAATTTAAATTTCAAACGCTCATAAAAATTTAATTTGAATTTCTTATAGACATTTTTTTTTTTGATAAAAGTAGATAATCTTATAAGGAATCTTGTATTACCTAACAATATGCTAGGAGCCTTCTATTAAATTTATAAGCTTTTTCAACCAACAAATAAAATTTTATTGATATTTTTAGAAAAAAAAACAAAAAAAAAATGGAAACTGAAAATGTCCGTAAAGAGCTCAAAATAAGTCAAAATATTTGGAAAATGTTATGGTGTATAGAAAACGCTAATATAAACATTCAGTTAAAATTTCATGTACCTACGGTCATTTGTTTAAGAGTTGCACCAAAAACCAAAATCGATTTTGTGGAAAACTGGTTTTGAGTAAAAATTCCCGTTTTTCCTTAATTTTTCTTTTGCTTTTCGCTGCACTTTTGAAAATTACTGGAAAAATTTTACTTTTGACCCCCTAAATAACCAACTAGATTCACTTTCCTATCAGACAAGATACTGTTGAAGAAAATCTAAGCATTTTTATTCTTTTATTGTCCTAAAAGGTGATGACAGACACACAAAAAAAAATAAAAATAAAAAAAACACTCATCATTGTAAAATCAATACATTCATCGTTCCACTCAGAATCTAATATCTGTGACCCCAGCATTCGGAAATACATCGTGCCATAGCCCTTGGAAAATCCGGTTCCTTTGACCGCGATTGTCTGATAAAAAGTCGTTAACCCAAACGTATTATCACAGTAGGTATTAAAAAACGGCTCTTAAAAAAAATAATTTAATTTAAAAAAAAATCCTGAGTACGATGGTTTTTAAGTAAAATATTTAACTTTAACTGTATACATATAGACTCCATACTTTATTTAAAAACAAAATAAATATATTGAAAGCCACAATTTGCATTTTGAATTTGTATTGTATTCTTAAATTTTCATGTAGATATAATTTATCAAACTGTAAAGTTTTTAAAGAATAGCACAATAACAAAAAAAATATAGAAATTGTTAATGTTCAACTATAAGCAAAAATAGATAAGATCAAATATTATATCCCATATTTTAGGAATAAGTTAGTTATTTTAATTATAGGTAACAACTAACATACATTAAGTTGGTAGGTTCGAATAATGTTGGAATTAACCAATGTTTTAGTAAAAATTGGAGAAGATTGTATTTTATATTTTATGAACAAAACAATTCATTCTTAAATTGGAGTCTAGTACAAATTTTCGTTCTTTGAACTGTCGTAAGTTATCAGAACTCTCATTATTTTTATTTGAAAATGCGACCAATATTAGTTGGCACACACCATTATTCATACATTTTTTCACTAAAAATAATTATTTTTATAATGGAATAAAAGTCTCTTTATCTTCAATCGTTAAAGTTCGTATTAAAAGTTTTTAATATGAATGCAGTATTATACATATACAGTATTTTAAGAGTCAAGTTAATAATTCATCTTAAATAATTATAATAATTTTAAGATGAATAATGAAATAATATATTTTTTATGATTACAATAAAAGTGGTTATCGGTTTATTAAAAATATTATCTCGGTGACAAATCTATTTTACTTTGAAATGAAACACAAAATTTAACTTAAATTTAATATTTTAAAGGTAATTTAATTTTAAAAATAATTTTGAGCTTAAGAGGACGTCGCACCTGCATATGTTGTCTCCGTCTTACACACATAAGACATAGCAAATGTTTGTTGGCTAGTTTCAATAGGGTATTGTCAGTTTTTATATTAGAGTAAATTGACCTACTATCAAACTTTTAGGTAAGAGCAGTATCTGGTTTCTCTCGTTGGTTTTTTACGATATTTTAATTTTTAAGTGAGTTATGGGTATGTAAAGTATTCATATTCTAAAATGTTCATAACTGACTTAAAAATTAAAATATCGTAAAAAACCAACGAGAGATCACAGATAATGTTGTTACTTAAAAGTTTGATAATAGGTCGAGTCACTCTAATATCAAAACTGACAATACCCTATTGAAACTAGCAAACGAAAATTTGCTATGTCGTACGTGTGTAAGACGGAGACAACACATCCGGGTGAGACGTCCTCTTAAGACGTATTTTACTAAAACTTTTCAAGAGTATAGAATAATTAAGTTGAATTTGAACCCACATTTGTCATTATTATAGCTAGTATACATTTTGCAAATAGCTGATTTATTGGAAATAAGACTTACATTGTATTTTTTATTTGACGTCTAACATGTATGTTTACTACCCAACAATTATTCAATAGGTATTTCAATGTACTGATTGTGTATGCGCAGTTAAAAAAAACACAAAATTGTGATTTATTAAAAGTATTATACATTACGTATAAAATATAATACTAACCTCAGCTATCAGAATCGATTTAAAAAAATGTTGATTCAACATATTTCAATTTATTCATATAAAATTTGAAATTACATTACACCCATAAAACAATATCTACCCAAAATAGTAATGACGGGCCTGCGCTTGAAGTGTATTAAGTTTGTTTTTTGCTCTCATGATTTAAAATGTTAACAAATAAGTGCTAAAAAACACCGTAGTTCGTAAAAAAATAAATTTTATCTTAGGACCGGTGACGGTGAAAAATCTCTGGGGATGGAGAGGCACTATAATTCTGTTTAAAAAATTATATAGGTTGACTAAATATAATATAGATGACACATTATTGCGACGTATAGGGATGGTACATATAATTATAAATTAAAGAACAGAGAGACGGGGTGCAGGGTAGTCCATGTCGGAGTGGGTATATATATTATATATTATAATATATAAAGGTTTGATATGAATTTATATAGATTGCAGTCTCGTTGTCGGGTAGGAAAAAAGCGGGTTTCGCTAATGCTCGGAATTGTCGGCATATTGTCGCACGCAGGCTGCAGTATTACGACTAATTATTGTTGATGTTGTTTTCTCTAATGCACGTTAATAATATTATATACACCACAATTTCGTGTTGGCTGCAGCTGTAACGCGCCGAGAGTTCAAACTACAGATTTACAAATTATACTATTATAATATAGACTCATTCGATAAAACACACGTATCAAGACGGTATCAAGTAGGAGTGTAGGACCGACGGCATTGCGTATAGAATAACCGCTGCAGAAAGTGGGTCTATGTATGAAATTTTATTATTATTGTCGAGTAAATCCAAACATTTAAGTCTTATAACTGCAAGGTGACGTAATTATTTAAAAGGCAAACACTATCGTTTTACAGAAAATTACTGACTAACGTTATGGTAATATTGTTTTTACATACCTAATTTAAAATCATTACTAAGAAACATTTAACAAAAAAATATTCAAATTTTGAATGAATAGATAATTAGTTATAAGTTATAACTATACTTATTATACGTATTATATTATTTGGACGAGAGGAGTGAAGTGACACAAGCATACCAATTACCCAGCAAAATAATGGGTCCACTACTCCACTCACCTAAATATTAGCAGCAGAAAAGTAATTAAAAGTAGTCTGCGCTTTGGAATAAAAAAATAAAAATGAACGTTGTTACCATTGAAAAAAACACTTACAAAATGAAAATGATAAAAATCGTAAAAAAATGTTGATATGCAGTGGTAATTAAATTGCGTAAAAATAAATATTATCAAAAACAATCCTACTTTTCGAGATATTGTGTGTTATTAATCTTAAAAGTATCACTCTCCATATAATATGGAAAATTTTCTTTGGATCACATTTGGACGCTTTTTTTATCTTGATGCTCGTGATTATCATATATAACACATTAAAACGACGTAAATATAAATATAAGAAGACATAAGTCGCTTTACAAAATGTCTATAAACTACGAGCGTCTAGGCGTGTAAATCAAAGTTAGAGTAATAATGTATAATATAATATAGAGATTAGCATGTATCATAATTTTTTTTTTTATTGAACTTAAGACCGGCAACTATGACCACTAGCTGTTTTGTTATTTTTGTAGGGGGAGACGGTTAGAACGGTTGGTTGAAACACGTTTTTAGGTTTGGCAGAATGTCAAGTTGAGCACCCGTAGGTTTCTGCCATGTCCGGTGTATCATCATATTATATACCTACCTGATCTAACCTATATTAACTAATCGTCTTGTATAGTATAATTTATTATTACCAAACGCTTTGGACGTCAGACGTGGCGTAGTCTCCGCTTTCCCTGTTCTGTCGCCTCAACGGTATTATGGTGGTGGGTTGACCGGAACCGGAAGCGGGTAACAAGAGCCCCGTGGCCGTCTGTCGGTGATGGCCACTGCCACCACGGTGGTGGTGGCCACCAGACAACGATATGTCACCCGCGCTGCGTAACGATATGACGGAACCGGAATTGTTGTTCCGAGGCGCTCTGTGTTTGGCGTAACCGTAATAGACTCTGAAAACGGAGACGTCGGTGAGTCTTTACATTATTATACACTTGCCGAACACGGCAACGGATATTTTATCATTATGCGCCGGGAAAGAAGAGGAAACCTAAGGCAGGTAGGGTGAGGAACACTTCATCCCCACGCTTTGAGTTCTTGTAAAAGGTTCCCGAAGTAAACGATAAGACATCGCCTTTTTCTGGATAACGCAATATATTATATACCTAACGACTTAGTTTAGAAACGTAAATCGCAAAGATTTATACTATTCGTGGATGAGAATAATGAGATAACTAACGATTATTCTCAGATGTATTTTTAACGGCTAAGTACTACACTATTATTCTATGGAGAAATCGAAATTCTAATAAGTTGTTTCTGGATTTTTATATTTTGTGTAGGTACTTGAGTATAGTCCTTATTATAGATATATAAGATATGTTTAGGCTTTAGAATCTAAAAATTAAATAGAAACGTTTATCTACAGATATATTTAATTAAGTTAGTAAAGTTTATTTCTGTAAAATTGTGGTATTCGATAAACTTAAAAAGTAAAAAATGCAATATTTGAATATTATTTAACCATAACAAGGACTGCAGTGATAAAAAACCACTCTGTTACATGCGTAGTGTATGATCAAACCTATTCACTGCACTATTTCTCAACAAATCGAGTCAGACGTCCTCGAGTCTTACAACTTTTTTTGCCGTTTTATATATTATTATACCTGTTGTTGGCGTGTTCCATGAGCAGTTCCTCAGGGTCTGACTCGTACGGAGGTTCGTCGTACCAGTGTTTGAGCATGTCGTCGTCGTACATGTAAGTCTCGTCCGAGGTGTTACAACGGGCCGTGGGCTTGCCGGGTCCTCCACCGCCACCTCCACCACCGTATCGCAACAGCCCATGACGGATCTCCCGGAGGATGTCCTCGTGTTCGCGGTCGAAACGTTCCTTCTTGATCATGGCTTCTTGGACTTTCAACTGTGACAATATACGCGCCAGCGCTTCGATTAGACATGATTATGTAGAAAATATTTTTATACCTAGTTATTATATTATGTTCGACGGACAGCAGCAAGGCAACGTTTAGAATGTTTGCGACTCCCCCGCGGAACGTGCCTTTCCTAAAAATTCACCGCGCACCAACCTGTCTACGGACCGTTTTCTATAGCGATATTTATACATTTCCTTGGCACTTTTCGCGCTCGTATATCGTTATTATATTATATTGTAATATATTATATTATACCTAGGTACATAATATTTGTACACCTACACGATACCCATACTACCGTACAGGGGGGAAGAATATTATTATTTTCAGCTCGCCGTATAACTCGTTCCCCGCCTTATACGCGCGCATAACAAGATTAATGTTACTCCAGACGGCAGTAACGGCCGCCGCCGCACATGACCTTTAATGGGTCCCTGCGGGTCGTGAAACGCGAGCGCATTAACACACCACCGTCGCCGAGTGTATGGGCTTCCGCACGAAAACAACACGCGTATACCCATCACGATCGTGTGTTCGCGTTATTTTGGGCGGATGTGTCTGTGTGTGTGTGCGAGAGAGAAAAAAAAGGTATAACCGCAAAGGCGTCGGCGGTCGAAAAAAGGGGCCATACGTATTATACGTATGTATAGGTTTTTCTGTCTCTCTTTCTATCGCGTACACTCAGCGGCGGCGTTGAAAAGTTTTTAATGACTCGCCTCGGCTTCCTCCTCGCCCGCTCGCCACCTAATCTGACTTTAATGTTGTTTATTAGCGTAGGTATAATACGTGTATATATACGTGCCGCCGTCACTACGTTTTCGTTCTATTTACGCATTGAATATATCGCCAACTAAAACGCAGATAATATAATAATATGTGCATGTAGACGACCTCGCGAGTACCGGAATATAATATATTATGAACGCGGCTGCAGCTGGTATCGGATGATGCTGGAGGAGGATGTAGAGGGTGGCCGGGGGCAGGTGAAATGGAGCGAAATCGACTCACGAAAAAAAATAATATAAATAAAACGGCACCTCTATACGTATAGGTATCTGTACCCGTGTACAGAGCTGCTGCAGTGAGTGAGGGAAACTATTTCGATAAAAAAAAAATAAAATAAAAAAACGAGGAAAAGCGAAAACCAGAGCTTTGTTGTCCGTTGTTTATTATAGGACAGGGTTGTTTTTTATTATTTCATTCGTCCGACACGCCCTTTGCAGCGATCAGATCTCGGCGGCGATCGGAAATCGTATGCGCTTTATTTCCCCAAAGTCTCCGGTGTGCCAAACCGTACACCATGTATTTGTGTATGATATACCAACGGTCTCGTAGATTTGGCCAAAACGAGTAGGTACACACGACGGGAAATAATTTGCAAGTATATACAGCTCGTGTGTTCGCCCTAAGAGGTATTATTAAATATCTCAGATGGGTGACCTTGTATTGAAATGGGGTTTTCGGGAGGTGATAAGGAGCACTTAAATACATATTTTCAGACCAGTTTCAAATTTTTAGCTCACTCGGTACGCCCATGCGCAATACGACTTACTTTTTTTTAAACTGCAACACTAGTTTTTTTCTGCAGGTTCGGATAGAGTATTTTTTTTTAAACATTTATTGTATAAAAAGTTTTTTTTTATTTTCAAAACTGACCAAGTTAGAGTAAGTCAAAAATTAGATTTATGCATAATATGTGTTTAATGCAATTTTCATTTATAACAACTGGGAATAATAAAATAAGTGCTAAATTAATGTTTGATGGGGGACGGAGTGGCCGAGCGGACCAAGGCGTTGGTTGCGAAGCGCACCGTCGCCGGTTCGAACTCGGTCACATGCGGAATTTTTCTTTTGACAGTCACAGTGTCCGGAGAGAGAGGCCGTTATCCCCCACCCTGGCATGGCAGATACCTACGGGTGCCCACTTAAAAATTCTGCTAAAATAAACACACGCGTAGGTATCTACCATGCCCAGGTAGGGATGTCACCCTCTCTCTCCGCACACTGTGACTGCCAGAAGAAAAATGTCGCCTGTAGCCGAGTTCGAACAGGCAACGGTGCGCGTCGCAACCGACGCCTTAGTCCGCTCGGCCACTCCGTCCCCCATCAAACATTTATTTGGCACTGATTTTATTATTTCCAGTGGTTATAAATGAAAATTGCATTAAACACATATTATGCATAAATCCAATTTTTGACTGCCTCTAACTGGGCCAGTTTTGAAAATAGAAAAAAACTTATACAATAAATGTTAAAAAAAAATACTCTACCCGAATCTGCAGAAAAAAATGGGGTTGCCGTTAAAAAAAAAGTAAGTCGTATTGCTCATTCGCGTACCGAGTGAGCTAAAAATTTGAAACTGGTCTGAAAATTTGTATTTAAGTGCTCCCTATCACCTCCCGAAAACCCCATTTCAATACAAGGTCACCCATCTGAGATATTCAATGGTACCTCTTAGCGTGAACACACTGAATATACGAGCGACCCACCGGCGACTTTCATTTTGTTTGTATGAAAAACAATGGAAAATGTACAACGAAAATAATAATTATTTCATATCAACGATGAAATATATACGATGTGAACTAATTAAATTATATTTATAACTCCAAAATTGTAGAAAATAAGTACCTATATAATATATATAAGAAAGCATTTCCGGAATGTAAAACTATTTCGTATAAAGTGCATGTTACGAGTTCCCGCATATAAATAATAAACGAAAGAGATAAATCATAATGCAGATAAATATCTGTTTAAATAAACGGTTGAAATTTCTTTTTAACGAATACACCTACATAAGTTTTCAAACTTATGAGGTAAAAATATATTTTAATAATGGCTCAAAAATAAAAAGATAATACAATATAATATGTATGTTGTTAAAATGTTTGACGAAATCCACCCGAAACCCCGTTGGACGGAAAGCTTCAAATTACAATAAGGGATCATTTGTTATTATTATTATTTTCGCTCACCCGATGGATTGTTTCTTCAAAACCAGATGGATTTCCGACATGGTTTCTGCCGGACATAGGCGCACAACGATTTCTGTTATCCATCATTGTCATGCCCAAACAATCGGGAGTGTTGGCCTGAAACACGATTAAATTATGTTAAAATTGGCATATTTATTTAGTTACATTTTTTTTTCACACGATTATATTATTGTATGATAAAAGTATGCAAATATTGTAAATATAATCAACAGACATTGTATAGTATAATATTGTTGCATGTACAAAAACTGTATCCGTGATTGACATAATTGTATGTTATGACTTATGACATGGCATTTTATACAATTATAATAATAATATTAACAATCAACTCCATTTACAATAATAATATTTCAGAGATGATAGGTACGTTACCCGGGAAATTATCCAAAGTAAATTATATCATTATAGTTAGTAACCGATTCGTAACCATAAATTCGGAATTTGTAACTTGATTTCCACCGCGGAAAATCCATTTTTCTCCTGGGGGTGCTGCGATAAGGTTACATCAGCACCCCAATTAAAGGGAAATGACCTAATTGCAATCAAAATAGTATTAATGTTTAGTAACCGATTCGTAACCAGGGTATCGTACCTAGAGATGATGACAGTGTTTACACCAATTCGTTAACCGTGTTGTATAGGTAATAGAAATAGTAAATTACCACAAATAAATACTCTATTCAATTATAATACTTGTCAAATGAGCATACATAGGAATACATACGAAGTATGAGATGTATGATGCCAATACGGGTCCCACTTTTCTTATTTATAACCACCTCAAGTCAGAAGTTTCTTATATTTTTCATTTATTGTTATACAACACTTTCTTTTTATTTGTCTATCTTTATATCTTTGTTTCTTGGTAATTTTTTTTTGTAATTTATATGTATATATTCTTACTTATTAACTATACTAAAAGGGCTCAGCCGGCATATTTTCTAAAATGGAATAAAATGAAATAATTATTGCCTAAAGGTGATTATTATAATCCGACTATATAATAATATATCATATTTTATTATACACGTATAAAATATAAATATATATATGTATATATAATTTTTTTTTTTTTTTAATTAGGGTTGAGGCTTCGACAACATAGGTCATTAGCCTGTAGTACTGTAGGGGGGTATTTTAGGTTGTTAACACGTGTGTGTGTTGTGGAAGAATTTCTAGTGGGGCACCCGTAGGTTTCTGCCTTGCTCCGGGTGGGGGATGGCGCTACTTGTTCTCCGGACACCGTGACTTGCCCGAAGAAAAATGCTGCCCAGTGGCCGAGAATCGAACCGGCGACCGACTGCTCCGCAACCGACGCTTTGGACCGCTCGGACACCTCGTCCCCCCTAAATATATATTATGTACAGAAAACACACACACATTTAAGTTCTTCTGCAATGGTCATCGCCATCATGTTCAAATAACGAATGTTATTATAATTTGATAAGTGAAAAATTAATATTTTTTAAAATCAAAATCTAATAATACCTACATTTTAACGAGGTCTTAATTTAATTTTAAGTTAATTCCACTGATTCGCCAGTATAAAGGTTGCCATTTTTTAAACTTATCCAATAACAATATTAAATCATGTTAATTTAAAGAAAATTTATTAATTCCATGACCTAAATGATAACATATTAATTATAGTATAATTATTAATTATTTAATTAAAAACTTAATTAACACAACTTACTAATTTATAATTTGAATATAGAAAGTTATTAATATTTGATAAATTAGTTACAATGACTGGTGCAAATTCCATAGTATAAAATGTGACTTACTAATTAATTATAAAGAAAATATATAACTAATTTTAAATAATTTTATTGTTAATAGGTACTTTAATAATTTATTATTTTATAATTGATTTAGGGTGACAAACCATCATTAGAGATGGGAAAAATGCAAATATACTTCGGGTCTGTATAAAAATCAATTAAAACGGGTTTATAAATAATACATTAACAGTAGGTACTTAAGGTAATATTGGATTTTGTACAATAGTAAAGTTTTTTGGATTCAAAATGGCGCCTTGCCAAAATGGGTTTAGGACTCGTTGGGGTTTTGTACGATAAGAACAGTTTAATATAAATGTTTATAAGCAATCAGATAATGCGATTTTGTAGTATTACAACACTATTGTATGACATACATTTTTTAATTTCGATCACATTTTGGATAAAAAGTAGACTTAATACTAAAATAAATCGTCTAATAATTAGTTTACGAATATATTATAAGTAATAAGTCTAAAATAAAACAATATTTGTGAATACAATATTAAATTATGTGTGTTTCTAACAAATGTTTTTAAATTTAAAACGCTACAAGAAGATTGCTATAGCTATTGAATTTAAAATTAAGTAAAATTAACATTTTTGGGAAAATTTCCGAGCAGATTTTGAAAAACAGCAAAAATCATAAGTTTAATACAAGTGGTTTTTAACTAAATATTTTTTTTAAAACGAAACGATGATTTATTATTACTTTACAATTAACCTAACCTATCAGTAAATTGTGTAATATATGTTTAATGTTTTAGATAAAATATATATTTATTAATTTACTCGTTTTGTAGCGAGGTGAAAAAAAATTTGAATTCGAGATAGTAATAATCGAAGTAGGTACCTAAAATTGTTTTGAAATCTAGAATTGAACTAAACACGTATTGTTTAAAGTAAAACTGAAAATGGACACATATGATATTCAAAACACGTTGAATTATACACAAATAAAAAGTGTTCACAAAACCAACCAGAATACTAATGGAAAAAATAGTTATTTCAAATGCGGTATACAACAGGAATTTACAAATTTAAAAAATAAAACGTCTACATAAAAAATGTATTTTTTTCATTTTAATGCACATAAAATCAATAAACACCGTCAATACACTTTTTATTCGCATTGTCATTGTACCTATATTAAATATTAATTTTGTTTCTAAAATTTCTAAAACTCGATAATTTTAATAACCCAATATTATGTTATATAAAATTATGTTAGCAGTAGGTATATTCCATCGAATAAGTATTAAAATATAATAATTTCATTTTTATTTTGTTTTATTTTATTCAAATATACGGACGTTATAGTCCTGTTACAGTTTTAAAGTATGTGTACAAAGAAACTTAAATATTAGTAAATATACAGAACAAAATATAATATGATGTATATAGTTATAAGTTATAACTTATAAGTATACAATAAAGATAAAATCAAAGGGATATGTATTACTAGCCTCCATAAGAAGGTTTGCAGGGGAATTTAAAATATAATTCTTATTTGAAAATAGAGGGTAAAATGGTTTCGGATTTCTGGTATTAAAATTATTTATTTTTAAATTAATCAATGATAACAAATACGGACAATCAATAAGACCTAATAATAAATTATGCAGAAATCTTGAAAATAAAAGTATTTGTCGTTCATTGAGTGGTAAGAGAATTAGGTAATGTAATACATTAACATAAGAACCATGGGTAGGCCTGTGTATATTAAATTTAAAGGAAATAAAAAACAGACAATTATTTTGGATAGACTCTAACGTAGATACTTGTTTCGAAGTATTATTTATACAAATAAAAGGTCAGTATTCTAGTTGGGAACGAAGAAGGGATTAATTATTAGGTATTATACATTTGTTTCATTATAAAAAATTACACCTGTTATTGGTTTAGCTTTTAATGTTTTGAAATTTTAAAACTGATGTCAACTAAAAAATATTCCGTTAAACGACATGTATATATTAAGTTGTAACCCCCATCAGACAGGGTTTTTAAAAATATGCCGAGGGATATTTTTAATTTCAAACACTCGAATGTAATTGTAGCACGTATATTAAAGTGTTATGCACATAAGTAAGACTTTAGAAAAATGCTAGTATAATAGCTGTAATACATATTTATATAAATCGGATTTTGAAATTTAATTGTAGTTACCTCAAGACACAAGACAGTGTACAATATTAGAGGAAAAATATATGAGAACGATTTTCATGGCCTAGGTGTACCTGAAATGCCTATCCAAAACGCCGTGTCATCAGAATTTGGTTAAATATATACATAATACCTAATAAATTATAGATTTATTAAAAATTAGATCAAATATATAATTAAATTAATATTTAATATTTAATTTTGTTTTTTTTACTTTTAGTTAAAGTTTATATATTTATTGGAATGTAGGTATAGATAATTTTTTTTTTAAATCTAGATTTGGATAGTGATGTTTAAAATGGTTCTTGCCTTTCTAATAATATAGTTACAAATTTTAAATCAACGAAATTTTATTTACGATCAAATTTTGTTTAGATAAGTTATACGCGTATGTATACTATTGTTAACATAGCGGTCGTACGACGCCCTGAGAATGTAGTTAATAACTTAGTTGTTGTCGAACGATTGGCAAAACATAATATAGATGTGGTGACTACTGTAGCTCTAAAAAACTAATTATTATAAGCACAGTGATTTGTTCTTAAAAGCATTCGCAGGAAATTTAAATATTGTATGAAAATGTTGAAATATGAAAAAAATACAGTATAATATGATAGATAGATATGAATAAACAGAAATAAATTAAACAGCATATTTATTCGACGTCACAAATAAAATAAAATTTTTGGAATAATTATGAAAAAAAATTGTTGTTGATTACAAATTTTACATTTTATGTTAAAACGCATTAAGCAGGTATATCATAATAAAATGACTTTGCTCGCAGACATTTTCTTCTTCTATGACAATGAAATCGTAAAATATACCGTTAAAAAACCCAAAATAGCATTAAAACTATGAAATATGCTACGAAAATGTTTATATTTTGCTTCATGGCGATCTGCATCAAAACTTACTTAGGTGTTTCAATGATATTATGTAGAATTAATCAAAGTTAAACCAACAAATCATACAATAAGTCGTTAGGCGGCTCCGTATATACTATATACGCATGCGTTTATGTGTAAAGAAGTTATCATCGACTATATATTGTAATACACATACATATATATATAAAGCTGCCAACAGGGGAAAAACATAAAAAAATGCGACCTGTCCACAGGTTGCCTCAGGGGTACTAGTGCGCACTACGTGTATAATATATATTATGTGTGTGTGTGTGTGTATATAACACTGGTAAATAATAATGCGTTTGTGCACTGGCAAAAAACGCCGAGCGCTGGCCGGAATTCAACCGAGAGATGGAAAATTTGGGGGTTCATGCCAAACATTCGGTAACTTCAACCCCTCTGCCGTCGGCCCTAATACTCACACACTATATTATATATAGTGATACTAGCTGTGTGTGTGGGAAGAGATGGAATGTAATCTGAAATAGGTGTGTGTGCGCACGCGCTTACGTTATAGTGGGGGTATAACTGTGTGAGGCCAACGCATGACGCTTGGAGATTCGGTGAGAATTTTGGTGATTTTTCTCCATATAATTAATATACCAACAAGCCACCCCAAACTTAATCCGAAAACCGTGTCGATCCGACGGTTTAGAAAATCAAGACTTCAATAGCATAAAAGTACAATGTGATTTTTTCTTAGTGTTCATATACTCATAAAAGCCGTTACATTTTTTCGGTCATTTAAGTTTTTATATTTTATTTTGAATAACCACTTCTATAAAATAATTTCTCTTCAAAATAGTATAAAATGAAAATTTAAAATTATCTTGAACATCCCTATAAGAAATTTATTTATACGAAAATATAAGCTCGACCCGTATTACATAAATTAATATGAAATATAAGTGTTGAGTTTTCGAGAATAGTATTTTTTTAACCGCATGGCCAAGAAACGACGCCTGCTGCTACGTGGACAGAAAAAAAAGAAGGGCAATTTTTGTATATTAAAAAGTATTTTCGATTAAAATACGTATAAAGAAAGAACCTAAATGTTTATATTCATGAGTTTATACATTATAATCCGTATGCATTGTAAAGTTTTCAGAGGATAGGATAGACCAGGGTGGTGGAGAGGTGTAATTTCGGTCTCTAAGGTCATTACACATAGAAATCCACTAGTGGTCGGAATGTGTACGTTATTTGACGCGGAGTTCCGGTATATATATAAACAACCAAAAAGGTCGACGACGACGATGATTCGGACGGGAACAAAATATAACGACACATCATATAATATTATAATATATGGACGATTAGACATTTTCGATTAAGTACACTCGTTAAGTCATTATCTCACACACAGTGCGCGATCAGCGTTGACCGAGACGGAGCATCTATTCAGGCGGTCGAATAAAACAAACCCATTGTGGCATTTATACAGGCTGATAATTTTTTGTTGAAACGTATAATAGATTGGATTGTGTGATTTTTCATAGAAAGCGTTTAAGGTTTTTTCAATTTCGTTTACGTATTCTAAAGACACGTTTTGTTGCGCACATGGAGTGTCTGTTCAGTAAAATCGTCGAGAACGAAACTTGGGGAGCAAAAGGCCAGTCCGCGTATTACCAAATAGAGAATCCCAATGTCATATTTTATCCCAGCACTCCCATTGGTCCGTTCGAATTTTGCGCCATAATCATATCAATATTAATTAATAATAAATCATTATAATATAATATACAGTTATATGTATAAATAATTTGTATTATTAAGTTTATGATTATACAATTAATTTATATATTATGTAATATTTTAAATAAAATTCAACAGAAAATTGATATAAGTACAAACTGTTAGTTTATTGTTTGTTACAATCAATCATTTTCCTAAACGAGTTCAAATGTGTTGCAATAACTGCACTCTCGTAAATTTTATTATTTGTGGAAGGGGAAGCTTAAAAAGTTTTTTAGAATACATAGGTACTTTTTTTTTTTTTTTTACAGAAAAACCGATTTTAAGAGTCTCTGCAGACTTCCACATTCCTACTCTTCCGATATTTTATTAAAAAATCCCGAAACTTAACAGAAAAAATGGATGCATAGTTTTACGTTAAAAATATCACCCGGTATATACACTACAGTGGGTCGTAGGTGTTATTTTATAAACTACATTTTTTTTTCGTATTAACTCTGTTCGGGTGTGAAATGTCATCGTGCAGATACGAACGAGAGCCCGCGGTGGTGTCGGATCACCGGTTGCTACCCTTGAGTCGTGACCTCGGAGAATCAAATTCGGTCGACGATTTGTACACATGGAATATAATAATATATATATACTAATACTTTATATTTACATATACACACACCTACGTCATACTATAGGTATACAAGCACCGGATATGGGTTGTAGGCTATTGCCACAGTATATATTTTATATGTATATATGTACGTGCACGAGATATAAAAAAACCTATATATTTATATAATACTGACAATACGCACGTGCGTTGTAGGTGAAAAAAAATATAAATATACACACTCATATATAATATATATGCATGTACTTTGGCGAATTTGATTGTACAGTATCCGCGACGAAGTCAAGGGGTGTATGGGTGTATAGTGAAAATAGGAAATCTCGAGGGATTTATTTATTTATTTTTATATCCAATCCTTCTCTCTCCTTTTGGTTTGACTAAATCCGGCGCCGGTCCCTATACTGATTGGCATGCAAATACGTAGAAATGCTCAAATCGGTATTCCACTGACACATCGTCGCCGTCACCAGAGTACACACTCGACCCACACGAACACGAGTACACGACCCACCCACCACAGGTGCTCACATAATAATATTACGTGTTATCATAAAACAGCATAAGACGATTAAATATTTGTCAGAAGCAATCAGGAATATATATTTGCGTGGCATACATATATATTATATATATATATCATATTAGCATCAACATAGTCTATACCAGGGGTCTCCAAACTACGGCCCCCGAATAAGTCTTAACCGGCCCGCAGCACCCATAGGACGGTAAATAAAATATAGATATCTAAAGATATGTGTAAGGTGAAAAGTCGTTATAGCGGTAAATATTATTACGTACTTAGGCATCGTCAGTTTCAAGATTTTTTGAAAGAAATAGAAACAGAGTAGGTACCCAGAAATACCGTATTTTACAGCAGTTCGATGGCTTAGGCGCGGAAATGTCCTATATTTTTTGAATTAAGAAATTAAATTGAAATATTTCTAATTGATAATAATCGACCATTGCCTTTACTTACAGATAGTGAATGGGTTTGGAAATTAGCTGTTTTAGTGGATATCACAAAATATATGAACGACTTCAACCTAAAATTACAAGTTAAAGATGTTCTTATTTGCGATGTTTACACATTAGTAAAGGCATTTAGGCAAAAACTTATTTTATTTGAAACGCTAATTTCAAAAAATTGTTTTATTCATTTTTCTACTTGTGATAAATATAACAAAGAATCAAAAACACAATTTCCAGTCAGGTTAGGTTAGTATACCTATATTTTCATAAAATTAAAAATTATATGTGTTAATATACTTTTGTTCCGCTAAGAGCATTTGATATTTTTTGTGGCCCTTGAATAAAAAAGTTTGGAGACCCCTGGTCTATACTGTTTTCTGTATAGACAATACTAGCTGCAGCATGTTTTTTTAATTTACAATTTAATCGGACTTACAAATTATATAATACTTGTTTATACTTTTGGTGATTGAATTATCGCGTGATGTTACCGTCAAACAAAGCAAATTTTTGTTTGTTTAATATTGAACAACACGGGACGAAGATAAAACAACAAATTATTTTTCGTGCGAAAATATTATCGGGCTTGTAAATACATAGAACAACAATAAATTAAGTAGGTACCTACGTTATACATACTGCAATGGTTATTCGAGATCATATTTTATTTGTGAAAAGCTATTGTTAAACTTTTAGGGGAGACAATAAAAATATAATCTAGTGAATTACATTTTTAAGTCACTTATTTATTAAAACAGTAACCAACATTTAACTGATTTTTAAAATAAAATTTATTTAGTTTTAATCTATTTTTCAATAACTTTTTATGATAATTTGAAAGCTTAATTTTATTATTAACAACAATAATAGTTAATAGATTAATTAAATAATAGTTTATGATGTGTAAAAATATATGATGCATACAAATAAGTAGGAACACAAATAGTTTTTATAAAATCCGTAAAAACAGCATTTAAGTGTAGCAGAAACAAGTATAAATAAATATAATAATAATAATCGAACATTGAGCAGTACACCTGTAAGCACGTTCTACGATGTAAATGAATAAAAGAGGGTTGATTTTCTACGGAAATGTCGTCTCCGAATTTTGCGTGATTGCCACCGTCTTGCTACTATTTCTATATGTATACTTCAACCGGCTATAGCCGCTAGTATACGCCTTCACCGAAATGTCGTATTTGAAATATAAAATGAAAACGTAACAGACATTTTCGGGTCAACAGCCACGATGGAAAAAAGAAAGAGACGGATCAATAAAATTAAAAAAAAAAGAGAGACGAGAAAAAAATTACTGGGGCACAATATAATAATATATATAATACATATAAAAATGCATATATAAAAAGACACTTAGCCGAACGATTTTATAGTACCTTAAATTTTTTTAGTTATATATCAGTCTCGAGTATACACGGCGGTTACCATAGTTACTTGTGAGATTTGGTGAAGTGGGAGGGGGGTCTCATAAGCGTTCCATTGGAATGTTTTTTCGAACGTATAGGAATTAATTATGCCATTTGATTTAGTAAAAAAAAAAATGAGGTCAAACCGTTCTCTCTTGGTTTGAAACGTTAATTAACGATTAATGAGGAAACTACCACCTATAATGCCACCAAACCACACCAAATACACGGACGAGTGGATAGCCGCTACCATCTCGCGCATAAAAGCTTTAGAAACAGATGCGCGTTATTTTATACACACACAGACATATCCATGGACTCGTACCTAGTTTGTGTATATGTTTGTGTGTGTGTGTGTTTGTGCTCGCTTGAGTACAGTATTTCCGCCGACAGTAGTTAACACAAAGTGCACAGTCGGACTACTACTCTCGCGCGTATTGCAAACAGTAAAATAATTTGTATCCTTACCCGGGCTGAAACGTTTTGTTGACTTCGCGATTTATCTCTCCTGTGGGTCTTGAAGTTCCGCAGAAACCGCGTCAATGTGATCTTCTTTTTGCCGGGTCGGTCTGCAAAATAAATTATAAAAAGAATCGCATATTATTTACAACATGCAATTTTTAAACGCTATTATTATTATTTGATACATGTTTCTCGTTTATGCGTTTGCACACGACGTTAAACACCTAAGTAATAAAGTTATAACTTTTTAAAAGATATCATTTTGCTATTTTGAATGTATCCACTATTTTAGGGGCAGAGAACACTAGCGCAAAGTAAATATAGGAATAAATCAACGTGGACAAGGTGTGCTCGGGTGGATGCACAAACTTGCCTGCCGAACATCACATCGACACGTTTGCTACAAATTCACCGAAACCTTTGGAAAACAAACCCCATTTTCGAGCATACACTATACATATATATAGTCCAACTATCTCACTTCAATCCCCCTCACCCCACCGATAGCGATTCAAATCCACCACAACCAGGTTTCCTCCCCCGGGATACCGTCTAATTTCCATTTAAATTTTATCCCGGGCTCACTGGATGAAATCCATTTTGGCCTTGGGAAAACCACGAAATTGCGGAGTTTCCCTGGTCCAAAAAAGAAAAGGGTGGAAGCGAGCAGAAAGATAGTGGAGAAAGAGTAAAAGAGAAAAAAGGTCTTTCCGCATCTCTATCACTCTTTGGATTCGCAGAGTCCCAACTTTCCACCACCATCGTTGTCTCATGTAAAGAAGATGGAAATTCTTATTTTAATATCGTTTCTGTTAAGTGTACCGAATAAACGAGCTTTGGAATGGAGTGGAAGGACCTTTTTCATTTTTAATTAACTCACCGTACAAAATAAAAATAAATTATAAGAATTAATAAAAAAAAAAACAGAGTAGTTATCTATACAGTTATAATACTATTATCGTAAACGGATGGACATTTGCTTGTTATTATTAATTAATATGCGATTGGATATGAATATAACTTTTAATATTGAAACTACTCTCCGTCAAGCGATTACTTTTTAGTAATGCATATCATTAATACTGACTACAGGTTAAGTAAATAAAAGTACGTTTATTACCAGCAGGAGGAAACTCGTAGAAATATGCAGATCTTGGACTCAAGCACCTGAAACATATAATATGATGCATAATAAGTAATAATAAATAACTTCATAGGTATGCATAAAACAGTTTTAAAATTATATTCAAACTTATCTACGCATATGCAGATACCTTCACAAATTATTATCACGAGTATAAATACCATCGAAAACACTTTCAATTTTTTTTTTATATTACTCAAAGATCAGCTGTAGTCAGTTTTCTGATAAAATATTATGCTTCTATCTTTATCCTACATAAATATTATAAACAGTAATAACCATAAAACAGGATTGTTGAAAAAGATTTCTTAACGGGAAAACATTTTTTTAAGATAATATGTCGAGTATAATCACAAACTTTTTTTGAGTGTTGTGTTTATACTTGACCATTTTGTACCTAAAAAAAGTCTTATCATTTAAGTGATATTTGAGTACCTCTACCATATATCCATACTCAAATATCTGATGTTTTCATATACTGGGGGGTTTTTATCATTGAACACTCATTATTTTAAAAAGTACCTATAAATGATTTTGAAATAAAATATTTACATGATTTTTAGAAGTTAAAAAACAACATGTAAAAAAAAATTATAATATTTTAGATTCTGAGAGGAGCGATGAATGTATCAATTTTACAATTATGTGTGTTTTTTTACATGTTTTAAATGTTTTTAATATGTCTGTGTAGAGTCTTGTAGACGATAACTAGTCAAAATAATGCTGCGATTTCCAACTTCAGTATCTTATTCAATGGGAAAGTGAATCTAGTATGTACATTGAAAAGGTAAAATTTTAAAATTCCCAATGTAGTTTTCAAAAGCGCAAGGAAAAATAAAATTTAATTCAAGTCTCCTGATATATTTTTACATCAAATATAGGCATAATTTTTTTTTATAAGCATTCAAAGATCGAATTTTGATAACATTTATCAAATTTAAAATTGAATAATTATTTTGTAGTTAAAAAGATTCCACGTCAGTAGCTAATTCTGTTACCAAAAAATCTAAAAAATACATATGCAAAGTTTATTTTTATAGTCATTTTAAGTTCAAGTTTGGACGATAATACATAATAAAAAACCTAGAGTAACTATTTTAGTTATTTTGCTGTGATTGTACCTATATTATTTGTGGGTACTTGAAACTTCTTATTGATATCTATAATAGTATCACGGTTTGTTGTTCATATATAAGGCGTTATAAGTACCTCATGGATATTGTAATATGATTAATTTGGAATTTATTACAGGTACAATTTTTTTTTTTTAATACCATAGATAAGTATACAATATATACCTAGACTGACTACCAGCTCCGCTCAGAATCGTTTTCTTATACAATGATATTATATCATTGAATTCAAATATAATACCATCCATCATACAGTGACACACTTGTAACCTACTGTACAGTAGAGCACCTTTTTTATAGTTATTTTACGTTCAAATTTTAGTAAGTATATTTATTATATATTTAAAATATATTCTTGGTGGGTATTTGAAACTTCTAAAGTATATTATTGCATACAAATATTATAATAAACAAATTATAATAATTCACCTTTTCCAGCTATCGTATTATTAGTTATAAGTTATAACAATATAAATATAGTATTAAGTATCCTAGGCTGACAAACTGCGGGCGTTCAGCATAATTTTTTGTATACATGCATAATTATGTTTAAATAGATTTTTAATTTCATACAACATAATATATTGTACAAATATATGAATAATTATATATTATTGTTATAATGATTTAGCTTAAACGAATAATAAATACATTTATACAACTGTTTAATACAATTTACGAACAAATAAATTATAATGCTTTTATAGTCATTCATAATAATTTTATATTTGACTAAAAGATATAATTATGGACATGCGTGAATAATACATAATATACTGATAGTATTTTACATAAAACAATGATTTAGTTTTATGAAACCACACTGACTACTGACATATATATTTTAATTGAATAATGAATTTAATATAGATGGAAAGAATAATAAAAAAGAAAATATCAAAAATCTCTCTATATTATTTGTGAACATGAAATTTAACTTTGAGACTAAGCGAGTGTTTCGGGAGATATGGCATAAGATTCCTCGGGGATGGCAGCTCAGAACGATAATACAAGTTGTAATGCCTTTCTTCAAAAGAAATAATAATGATAATAAATAAATATATAATGTATAAGAATGAAAATGATTTATGACAAGTAATAAATTATACGTGATCATTACACGGTCTTATATATTATGTAATCGAAGCTTAATGTATAACAGAGCTAAGAAGCTGCAGCTAAGAATACCACAACAAAATGTTTGATGTTCACTGTGTAAAATAATATATATGATAATAATAAAACGAGATTTCTAGACTGTAAATAATTAAACAGATTAAAGGCACGTATTATCCGTAATACATTCTATCCGGCCACGATCAGACAAACTTATATTTATATATATTATACACGCGAAGATGTTAGAGATACGACATGAACATAGATGGCTGTTAACTGAATAAAAAACATAATATATAACGACGATACGACCTATTTAAGTACAGTGTACATATATTTTCAAATTTAATTAAAGTATAAACAAATGTATATTGTATCTACCTACTGTGTCTATATATACAATAATTTTTAAGCAATTCTCATAGTTCATTATTAATAATACAAATAAAAATAACAGATTCAAGTAAAAACGGTTTTGTATTTTTCATCCGCAAGAATACATTTTATAAACAATATAAATCCGTTATAGCCCTCGAGTTCCTACTTAAGTACGCAAGCACATAACCCTAACTCGCAAATTCTAAAAAAAATATACATATATTATTATGTTATATTATAATTTATAATACAAACTACACAAAAAGTGCAATATTTAACGGCGTACCTACACCTACCTCAAAGATGCGTACTATACCTATACATATGGCTTGCACTTACATACTTGAAACCCACATTCTTAGTCCCATTTCACCTTAGTAGCAGTATAACAGCAATAGCAGTGATTTGGGCAATTTCTATTGTAAATTCCTGCCGACACACACACACATACTTTTGGTCGCATATTTTCGACAGCATACCGCCGCCGTTATGGTTTAGCGGGAAAACCGCAGAACGCGTATAGAGTCCGGTCGACACCCGAAGCGTAAGTTCGACATGTCGCGAGGCACCCAAGAGACCACGGATTTAACGCGATAAAATATTTATACATTATATTTTAGCCTAACTTCGTAAAATTGTGTCACCCGTCAAGGGACCAAAAGAAAAAAATTCAATCAATAAAAATGTTGGCATTCGCGCTTCGTTGTTGGTATATGCACTCAATAATATGGTATTCCACCGCGGATGATAAAATTTCGATAAGCAAGAAAGAACTTCTATAACCACCTCCAGCGCGACGCGATCGATTCATGCAGAGAGTGGTAGACACTATATACATATTATTCTGTTATTATTCTTAAGCGCGGACGACGGATATGGGCTATACGGCGGTGTTTCTATAATATTATTCGTGTAGACGAATGGCCACGTTTTGTCGTCCGTGGGGTGGTAGCAATTTTTTTATATTATATTATGTCACCGGTCGCTGTTGTGCTTTCGTCGGGCAGTGGACGTTATTAAATAATATTCTTTGTATGTATAAATTGAGAGACGAGATCACTCACAAACAACTGAATGTCAAAGTTCCGGCATTAATAGTTATAACAACAATAATAATAATAATATAATAAAATAATAGTAATCGTAATAAACGAACGTATATACAACTAGATATGCCGACGAGAATTGAATGCATGTCCGAGGGCGGTGTGGCGTACAGAGAGTCAGAGATGGTCATGTATACATATATTATTGTAATAATATTATAGTTTTATTGCACTAGCAGCAGAATCGCACACGGAAAATACTCTTCATTTATTTTAATTTAGAGATCCCTTTTGCCCGGCGGTCGTAAACTACCGCCCCCACCGACAGGAGAGAGTGTGCGACGAATCAGGCGGGCCGGACCACATCGGTGGGGTAGCGGAGTTTGTGTGAGATGGGGGTGGGAATATTAAAAATAAAAAATAAAAAGTCATCCGATTAAAATATACGAGCTAATTTTACGGCGGTTTAATTTCGCAGGACAAATTATAATTAATAAAAGTGTTCGCGCGATCATGCCAAATCTAAGCAAGCGTACATATTATATATAGGTACCTACCTATAATACCAATTATACATATAGGCAAGCATAAACATATTATTGTTTTAATGGTATACCCCGAAGAATCAAGGCCGGATATTATTATTAATTCGCACAGAGTTAATCGCCACGCGTTACTACGATAAATATATAGCAATATAATATGCACACAGCTTTGAGTAATAATAATGTAATATATATTTGAGACGGATGTTGGTGATTCAAATATATACCCGAAATCAATATATCCTATTAATATTATAAATGCGAAAGTCTGTGACTTTGTTACTCTTTCACGTAAAAACTACTGAATGGATTTTAATGAAACTTTACAATAATATAGCTTATACATCAGAATAACACATAGGCTACAAATCATCCACCTAAGTCATACCAGGGTATGTGCTCAAACGGGGATTTAGAAATTAATGTTGAAATTTTTGTTTATAAATGGTCGGCATGGGTTTTAAAGCTATTATAATAATAAATTATTGGTTGCCGTGAAAAAAAAAACAATTAATCAATCACGGATTTTGTTTTCTATTTAGTAAATTAGAATTGTTTGCAAGTAATAAATTATTATAATTAATTATTATTCGGAAGTGTAGAAAAAGCACGTACTAAGAATAATGCCACGAAAGCGTAAGTCTAATCTTTCCCAAAGCTCTAGTAAAGCTCGAACTATGAAAGTAGCTAGATTTAACGAGACATTTCCACAAGCCGAACTGTGAAGGCTCGAATAGGTAGAGCGTGAGGCAACTTATAGGGCTACGGAGACACCCGAACAGTCTCAAGTTCGGCGTCTTCA